TATTCATAAGAACACCCATCGACGCACAGTAGTACCACGATCGTCGTGAGAAGATCTTCGTTGCAATTGTCACCGGCACGATTTTGGATACTGATGCTATGATAACTAACACAGCTAGTGTCCACCATGCTCGTCCGGTGTTTAGAAGATTCAAACGTGTCTTTAGACCACTATTTGCAAAGTATAGACTAAAACGAACCGAAGGAAATAGGAAAATCGAAGATGTTAACAATGAAAATGAACTTACGGTAGGAAAAATTCGACGATAATCAATTCAATACGAATGGAAAGAAATTCCACCAATTCACCTTTACGTGGAATACAAAGGCCAGCAATAAATGCGCCAAAGAATGCATGAATTCCTATCAAATACAAATTCTCATTCGACTAAACACGCGAACGTACTTTACCCATGACTTCAGTTGTAAATGATGCAATGAGGAGTAAAAGAAAACAACCGACGACAATATAAACATTACAATCGTCTTCTTTTTTATGATAAAAACCATGTATACGACCAAATATTGGTCGAATCGCGAATACCATTATTGCAATAAAAGCTAATGTTAATAGTAATGTATAGAGACCTTGAAGAGCGGAGCCGCCCGATGAAAAAGCACTGGCAACAGCCAACACAACCCAAACGACGATATCTTCAACAGCAGCTAAAGAAACCGTTTGGATACCAATCGGCTTATTCAATAAGTTCATGGAGTTCAATAGAGTGGCAAGCACAGGAAATGCTGAGAAGCCAAAACCGGATGCTAAACAACATTTTGATGAAAAGTGCCACATGAAAAATATCGATTCTTACCAATAAACAGAATAAAAGCGGTTTTACTCGCGACAATTCCATCATTCAGTTCATAGAACCACAAGGCTACCGCACAACCGATTCCAACTATGAAATAAATCATTTGTTGAATCTTCTTTTATATATTCAAATTTTCTTACCAGGAACAATAATACTCGCACAAGCAACTGGTATTGTCACTTTCCAATTGGCTTTGATTTGATTCAAATCAAGTTCTAATCCGAGAAAAAACATGAAGAAGATCAATCCTAAATTGGCGATCAATTGAAAGACTTTCAACGATGACGTCGGCCAAATCGCTGATGACCATCCTTTTGTAAATCCTACATGATAAATTCGAAATCATTATCTACATTTTTTTTCTCTCTCTCTCTCTTCGCTCTACGCACCAAGTATGGATGGACCAAAGATAATACCCGCTATAATCTGTCCAATAACTTGTGGTTGCCGAACGAATGAAAGCAGTTTGGCGAGACATTTGCATACAACTAACGTGATAAATACTTGTAATAAAAACATCGCTAGTGGAGATTCATGTGGATTTTCGAATAATGTCACCATGATTTTCCTGCTGTATTTAGAAACAACCTTTCCCTTTCGAATATTTTTCAATAATACAATCGAGGATATAAAAAACAAGATGATTTTATATCATATTCTCTTTTCATTTCGTCTCGCTATTCAACGTTGAGAAAAGATCAAGGCGATATGTGATACAGTGCAATACACTTGGATTCTAAAGAAAAATTTCGTTATAGAATAGCGTGACGTGCACTTTGTCTTCAAGGTGGGATTCATACTTGTTTGAATATCAAATCAGCGATTTTATTTACACAAATGGTGTTTTATGAAACAAAACAAATGGAAATCGATCGAACCATTCGGTTTTATAATCTGATGAGGATAAAAATGAATGTTAAGCGAGCGATGTTTTATGATGCTTAATGTTTTGAATATGCTATAGATCTGTTTAAAGGATAAATTTGTGTTTCGACAATACATTCGAAGTTAATGAAAAATGTCTTTTTTTTCATCAACGTTCGCATGACTCACGTTAGAGACAGAAAGAGAAAAAACGGCGATGTTGAATTTATGTGTCACAGAAGGTAGACTCAAATATAATAAGATGTTTTTTTATATCTTGGAAAAAACCAACACTTTTGAGTTGAATTAAAGAGTTTGTTTCTATCTTACGTGCAAACCGATTTTCTTGCTTGAAATGGCGATTTTGATTCGCAGCCATTCAACAATGGAGAGAGCAACAATTATAGATCCTTATGAAATCTTAGGTGTCAATCCGGGTGCATTATATCAAGAGATTCGTCACGCTTTCATTAGAAAAATCAGTTCTCCATTACGAAGTCAACGAGCATACGTAGCTTTGGCATATGAAGTCCTATGTTCGAACGACACAAAAAGATACACTCGAAATGGAAATCGTTTTGCTGTTAATATAAAAGATCAGTTCTATTACGTAACTATCGGTGATTACGAATCATTTGTCAGATTAATAACGAGATATAAGTATCTTCTCGATCAGCGAGATGAACATCAAAGAACGTTGCTTTATATCGCAGCTCGAAATGGTTTCCATAATATTTGCCAGTTTCTGTTGAGAGTTGGCTGTCAAATAAACGAAACTCAACATTGTGGAAGTACTGCGTTGCACGCAGCAGCTTTTTACAGGCATCAACCAATCGTTGAACTTTTGCTTGAATATGGAGCACATCCAACTATCCGAAATGGATACGGTCATACAGCCGAAGAAGAAAGTGGTAGTGAAGCGATTAGAACTTGTATTTCATCACATACGGTCGACAAAATCAATCAAATGGTAAATTGTTTGAAACAAGATGGCCACGCCAAAAACATGATTGTCTTAAGACATAATGATCGAATCATTGGTAAAAAGATTCTTCGAAGTCCGTATTGTTTTTCGAATCATTCATTAGCACATTTGACTCAAAATTGGACATTAGCTTGGCATGGTACAAAATATGAACATTTACAATCGATCATGAAATATGGCTTACATCCAGCTGGAACAGTCCTTTCTCCGAATAATAAAATATCTACGCAAGCCGGTCATATTGCATTGAACAGAAAAGTCGAAGGATTTGATAACTGGGCTCATGCTGTGTTCATTTCACCGAGTATATTCTATGCAGCAGATGTTGTTTACTCAGAACGGATTTTCTCCGATAATCAACGATGGTGCGTACTTGTTGAAGTTCGAGTGAAGCCTGGGTCGTTTACTAAGCACAAGCAAACACTATTGAACCAACGGTTGTTGTTACCGGGCGAACCGCAAGATATAGAATATCGAGTGGCGGTGACTGGCGACAATGATTTCATTCTTCGAGTTGAATCAAATGAGAATGTGATTGTAACAGCGTTAGTTTTCATCAATTTGAACTTTTTAGAAAACATCGATGAATATTATCAAGGAGAAAATCTTTTTGCTAATTCTGAAGCTGAAAGAAGTCTTTTTCAATAAATTCTTTTTTATATGATAAAAATAGATTCAGCTGTAAGTCTTTTCTTGATGATATCTCTAGAAAGGAGAACACTAAATACACGTGTTGATGTTTATCATCGATAACGTATCCTGTGAATATATTGTTATCATTTTGACGAAAGAGAATGGCAAGTGCAACGCTCGGAATGAGTAAATCGTACAATTCAAATTCTGTTTTACAGAACTCTGCTAGTCATTTCCTGTTAGAATTAATCGATGAAGCGATTGCTGCACTTGATGTCGCATCAGTGGATATTATTGCTGATTTTGGCTCGTCTCATGGTGCTAATTCGATTCACGCAATGAAAACAATCATTGATTACCTTCGTAGAGAAAACAAACTTTTTAAAGAGCCACTAGTCATTCACAATGATCTACCAAGCAATGACTGGACAGCGCTTTTCCGACTGCTTGATCAAAATAATTCTTACAAAGGCGTCGTTAGTGGTCGTTCTTTTTACGAACAATGTTTACCGGAAAGTTCGGTTGCAATTTCATATTCATCGACTTCGCTTCATTGGTTATCGAAAAAACCAGCTAATGCGTTAAACAATTATCACGTTTATTTTGCTGATAATCCCGACGCATATCGCGCGTTTCAACATCAAGCTGCTCTTGATTATTCACAGTTTTTAAAACACCGATCATCTGAATTAGTGTCCGGTGGTGTTCTTATACTTAGTATTCCATGTGTTGATAGTCAAGGAATTATAGGTATCGAACGTATTCTTGAACTTCTCTATACATGCGCTCAATTGCTACCGCTAACATCGGCTGAACTACATGACTATACAAATCCAGTATATTGTCGATCGTATGAAGAGTGTGTCGATGAAAATCTCTTTTCTCAAAATGGGCTTCAACTAATTAAATTCACAACCGTTTCCATTGAATCACCACTTTATAGACAATGGAGAAAAAAAGAAATTACGTTCGATGAATATACTCAGTCGACAACATTATTCACTCAAGGTTTTTCGGAATCAATTCTCGAACAAACACTTCAAAAACATGATCGAGCAGTAGAAGACATTCCTTATCTTCTAAAACAATTCTGGAATCTATTCGAACAACATCTAAGAAAACAACCGGAGATAGGAGATTATATTGCTCCATTTATTTGCCTAATTTTGAAGAAGAAATGAGTGATATTTTTATTTGCATTTGAATAAAAACATTTTTCTCTCCTCTTATTTATTCTAATCAAAACACGATTTTTTTCTTCGTTTATACAGAAAGGAGAAAAATCGGCCTTGGCTTGTTTTTTCTTCATGTTTTTTTTATAACAAAAGAATTCATTTTATTTCTCAGACTGTACTATTATGTCTTCGCTTGCCAGTGAACTTGCTTCGATTTCAAGTCCCGAACAGCAAAAGGAATTCCTGGGAAATAAACTTTTTCCTCTGGTTCTCGAACGTGTCAAACATCCTGATATCACAAGCAAAGTCACCGGAGAATTACTCGAGTTGGATAACGACGAACTTTGTCGTCTGATCGATTCACAAGATGCTCTCAGCGCAAAAATAGATGAAGTAAAAGCCGAAATTGAAGCCTGTGAACCTTTATCATTTCCGAAATAAATTTCCTTTTTTTTCCGAAAATGCTTTAATAATCAATGTATAGTTTATTTATATGTCGAAAAAATCAATTACAGATGAGGCAGTTCTTTTACCAATAGGAATAGCCATATCCAGAACCGTATCCACCGACACCCGGTGCGCCACCATATATTTGGCCAAAGGTAGGGTTCGGATTACCACCTAAGTAGTTGTCCAATCGTTCACCGAGATTGCCTAAAAGGAAGATATTCGCAACGAAAATGTTCGGGACTATTGAAGTGTATATTTACTGTTCAATCCGCCGGGTATATGAGTTTGAATCCACATATCCGATCGCATTTCAGAGTTATAGCCTCCATAACCGCCATAACCGCCATAACCACCATAGCCGCCAAATCCTCCGTACATGTTGAGTATATGGGTGTGAAAAGATAGATTTAAGAGCGAGTAGTGAATGCAGTTACATGTTTTGCAACCCTCTTTTATACATTCGTTATCGCCTCGCTACTGTAGGAGGAAAATATCTTATAGTCAATGAGTATAACCTTACTTTATGCTATTGACGTCACACGATTCTTACTAGAAACTAAATGTACCTAATTATTTCTCATCCTCGTTTGATGAATAATATTCAACATACCTTTGTCACGTATTGACAGCGATGAATAAACATGTTTATATTATCTCATAACGTCAATGACGTCATGTAACATATCACGTAAATGCTCATTTTATTGACGTAGATAAACAAAAATAAATCATTTTCATCCTACTCGGCAATCAATTCTTTCGACCATCTCCAGAATAATTTAGTTCTAATAGTAGATCACCGTTCACACTCGCTAGGTGATTCAGGTTGTTGAAAAACGATAATTTTAAGTTTTAACTATCATGAAAATGACAGCGGGGCAAAGAGGAAGAATCTTTTTTTTTCAATCAAAATTCGATAGATTTGTGTAGCATACCAATGCTCAGTTCACATTCGTTCCACAGCAAAGTTCATGAACCAAAGAACAGTCGTATAGGAAATTATTTTCTCGCGAATACATTCGTAAATGATGTATCCATCTCAATACTCTCCTTGAACTTGTTGTTTCTTCGTTTTCGAACGACGTATATGCTAGTAGCAGATGCAACAAGAACAACAGCAGTTACTGGAATGATTATTGCTAATATTGTTCTCCATTTTCCATCATCCTTTCCTGCTCCTAATGTAACTGGAACGCCTGTTGTTGTAGTTAATGTTTTCAAGCTTGTTGTTGATGATGACTCTACTTTTGTTGTTGTTGTTGTTGTTGTTGTTACTCGCGTTGGAGAAGTTGTTGAAGTGGTTGTCAACGACGAACAGTACGAATCAATATTCATACATTGTTGAGTTAGTTCATCTACAATCGATTGGTTGCGTAAACAGACGGGGCGTTGTGACGAGTAAAACATGTTTTCATGTAAGAATAGAAAACAATTGCATGTATGATTTGCATCAATTCCCATCTTTGTGTGATTGAGTACTTGAAACACAGATTTTGATAAACAATAATCATCGTTGGTGAGCTGAAAACCAAAGAGCTTAACGTGAAGATTCGATGGGCGATCAGACCATGGAATAGCTGCACCGTCCCTTGGCTCATAATACCAAAGTTGTTTACTCATTGGTATTCCAGAGAGATCTAAACTCTCTAGTTTGAATAACTTCGTGAAAACAAACCAGTTAATGTTTGATAGATATTTGTTGTTCGCCAATGACAAAGTCGTCAGCGTCGGTGCAACACTATAAAGAAATGAATGTGTTCGATTTACCGGTTTCGAGCGTTCATCATCGCCCATATCTATCGTTTCTAGAGACGAGAAAGAATTTGCTGATAAGTCCAGAGACGCCAAATTCGTTCCATTGAAAGCCCCCGGATGAATAGAGAAAATAACGTTCTGACTGAAATCAATTGTACGAAGTTGCTTTGCATGTTCAAATGGTAAATCATATAACACTTTGATATGATTACAACACATGATCAATGTCGTCAAATGAGAAAGGTTTTGCAAAGCTGCCAATTCAATTACATAATTATGCGATAAATCAAGAACTTCTAACGTTTGATTCAATGGATATAAAAACGATGTCAGTGTGTTTTGAGGTGTGACCGTTTCCAGATACTTCATATAATTATAGTTCAATTTCAAAGTTTTGATATTCGAGCCGGTGAATGCATCAGGTTCAATATGATTAATTCGATTGCTCGATAAATCAATTTGAGTTGCGTTTAAGTTTGAAAACACATTGGATTTGATTTCTTGTAATAGATTATCATCTAAATGAATTTCGTGAAGGTGAATGAACCTGGTCAATGAAGGAATCTCTTCTAACAGATTTAATGATAAATCTAATTTATTCAATGATGATTCAGAAAGGCTTCCAAGGAGAAAATCAGGCTTTCTCAATGAACAATTCTTGAATTCCAATTCAATAAGATTGAAAGACGATGATTCATTGGAAGTTGAATAAATGCATTTTGAATTCCTGATGCCCAGTTTGAAAATACTTGTTTTATCAAATGCTTTCAAGTTTAATTCATACGAACGATAAATGTCATGACATCGGATGCCAGAAATAAGGATTTCCGTATAGTTTACTTGACCAAATGCATAATTATCAAGTTGAAAGTTTGTTGGTGCGTTGAACGAAAGAGAAATTGATGTCTTAGAATAATTGTTTAACGACTGGAAAGTGTTTTCCTCTATTCGATCAACGCCGTTAGTAAACATGAACACCAGCTTTTCCAGCGACGGAAATGCTGATGGAAAACTTGTAAATGTAGAAGATGTTAAACGTGTAAAATTGACGAAATCAAAAAAGTGATACAAGTATCCGTTTGATGAAAATGCCGACCAATCGATAGAGGTTTCATTATTTGACATATTTTCAACACAAGTTACCGAACCCGTTTCATTTCTGCAACGGCAAGTTATAAATGGATCATCAAGACATATTATTTCTAACTGTATTGATGCTGTTATTGATGAAATAAGACACACAATAGAGAAGAAGAACGTGAATCGCAGCATGGGTGCGCGTTAGAAACAAGTTGTATCACTTTAAAGTGACTTTATATTTAACATGCATGTTTTGTCATTATCGTTTTTATCAAACGAAGATTTCTTTATTTAACATGACTCCCTTCTAGGTATCTTTCACGAGTTTGCGATCGTCAGTATATAATGACGTCAATTTTTAATGTTCTATTATATGGGTACATGCCAGAGAAAAGGAGGTTGTCGGTCATGATGTAATGCCTTCATCAATCTTACTCTTACTGTTGTTCTTATCTTTATCAGCACAAACACTTCTTCATTGTGATACATTCACGGTCAATCAACGACGATTTTCCTTTACAGTATAACCTCTCTATTATGGGCATACTAATTGGATGTATCACAAGTGTCCACTATTGAGAATTTGTTCAAGCTGTTTTAACTCTAGTATTACCACTCTGGATCATTTTTTACCCAATGAATAGTAAATTCAACTAATAGAAAATGAATATTATTATTGATTAGCTGTTGTTCATCGGGATTTATGGCACGATTGCTTACTTGGCTTAACCGCTCTTTGCCAATAAGACTTTCGACAGTTGGCGAGAATCCGCTGTACTTTCGCCAACATATTACGAGACTTTCGCCATCAACGAAAGTTTATTGAACTTTCATTATCAAATACACAGAAATAATCTTTATTAACAAGTCACATAGATAAACACGACAAGATATGACAGGCAGTTGAAATCTTAACAGATAATGTTTCCCCTCCTTCTGCTAGGAATAACAGTATACACGCAGTGTACGTTTTTATAGATTAGCGAATATAAAAAGACTGGTTCATTGGCGAATGTCTTATTGGCGAAATTCGGGAATCCCATTTATTAAACTTTTGAACTGTTACGTGTAAAACTATTTTAGTCTAAAAGAACGTTTACTTAATGATGATTAGTTATACGTGAAAGAGTGAAAGGAAAAAGAAAATGATCGTTAAAAATGGATTCGAGTTCGTGGAATATTTTGAATAAAATGAATGATAGCGTCGGCATTTGTCGAATTATTTTCGTGTCTTTGGTTTAGTGCAAATATCATTTTCATGGGCAGCAAAGCCAAGCACAGTAGAACTGAGAGAACTGCTCTTTTCGCAAGATTCGGCACTTTTAAACGCAACAAAACTTCGAAGAGCTTTATCGTGTCTACAAAAACCAAGACGAGGTGTCTTCTCAGGGGTAAGACATTGAACGCATTTATCAGTGCAACAAATAGCTCCACTGCAGGCTGGTGCTAAATCAAAATTCGATCAAATAATATGTTCTGTACGGAATATGTCTTACCTTCTTCTGCACGTTCCGCAAAGCTGGTGACTATGAATGAATTATCCGAATCTCCCTCGTCACGCAAATCAATCAAAGGATGATAACGTGCTTCCGAATATTGGACAGCAACTATTGCAAGAGCCGCGATGAGTATAACGATGGATGTCGATTGCATTTTCTTTCGTCGTTGAGCGAGGAGAAATTTGAATTTATAAATTAACGATAACCGAACAGGGTTTTATAGGACAAATGTTAGAGAGTGTTTAGTCAACCATAACAATGTTTTTTCCTGGAGAAAAAGTTATTTTTATCACGAACTAGTCATTTTGTCTATTAAAAAGATGAAAAATAAATACTAATTAGTAGATTTTTGTTATCAAGGGAGAGCAGAGCATTTTTCTATGTGACATATTTGGCAAATCATTTTCAGATGGTAAATCAATAAATACAGAAAGATTGAAATGAGCTGACACGTATGTCTTCGATGTATTATGTTGTTGTTGTCGTTCTTCATTCTGACGAAACGACGATAATTACTCTTATACCTTTATGACTAGTTTTCGTTTGTCGAGAATGCACGTAATCAAACCGTGTCTGAAAATATATTCAACGAAAGATTCAGTGTGTGTACCGTCAGATATTTCCCATCTACATGAAATTTTGTATCTCCGATGCTAACATTTGTGGACATGTCATTATTTTACCGAGTGAATCGAACTCTGGAAGATTTTGTTTTCTCAAGATAAGAGTATACGCTGTAAAATACGTATCATCTTTCTCGTTCTGATAAGCATATGTATAATCTTTATTCATACAGTTTGTTTTTCACACGTTCGAAATTTTCTCTGGCGTCTATGAGATTGGGATGATTTTCAGATAACGACTGTTTGGCAATTTCGATCGCACAGTTAAAGCAGGAGCGAGCGGTTGAGTAATTGTTCATGTTTTCATGAACCAATCCGATATTATTGTAGGATGAAACCAAATCCGGATGATTTGAAGGAAGCGATTGCTGTCGAATTGCGAGAGCTTTTTCATACGATGGAAGCGCTCGTTTATAGTCGCCCATATTTCGATACACAGCGCCAATATTATTGTACGAGGCAGCTACATCCGGATGAGTTGTAGTGAGTGATCGCTGTCGAATGGCAAGTGCTTTTTCATACGACACTAATGCCTTCTTGTAATCACCCATGTTTTGATATACGACGCCGATATTGTTATAAGATGAAGCGATATCAGGATGGTTTTCGTCGAGTGATAGTTTGCTAATCTCGAGATCTTTTTCATAGTAAGAAAGTGCTTTCTTATACTCACCCATGTTTTCATAGACTACACCTAGGTTATTGTAGGACGGAGCCAAACGAATGTCATTAGGTGGGAAAATCTTTTCTTCGATGTCAAGCGATCTCTTGTAGAAAGTGATCGCTTCTTCATATTCTCCTAGTTTGTATTTGATGATTCCAAGTTCATGGTAGAGAGGTGCTCTCTCATTGTCGTCGGTCGTTTCATCGAGTAGTCTGTTATAAATCTCTTCCGCGCTGTCATACCGACCCATTTGAATCAAGACCAAACCTAATCTTTCCCATCCTTCATTGTTTGGAAAGCTCTCTTCCCGAATCCGTTCTGTAAGCGCATTTAATTCCTTGTCACTGTCACTGGTAAGTGTCAAGGTTACTTCGTAGAGTGTGTTACTCTTATCGATTGGTTTCAGGTCAAGAACACGAAAGACACTGTTTATAGAAAAGAGTATTTCATCTTCAGATGAAACGGCACTGATGTCACTAACAGACGCGAATGCTGTTGCTGATTGGCCAGGATCGATTTTCATAACAAAGAGAATGCCAATTAGATCGGGATTTTTCATCGCTCGTTTAGCAAAATCAAGTGAGGTTGAACGAGTCTTGCTGGTAGATAGAAAATTATTAAAGGACATAAGTCCACCTTTTGTTTCCTTCAGTTCTTCGAAACCTTCTTCCGATAAACCTTGACCACGAAAAACTGTAAAAGTTTCAGTAACCTTCTGTTCTTGGTGCAGCCGTTCTATATGTCGATGGAGATCACTTATGAAAAATCCCATCAGTATTATTATCTTTGTATCCATTACCCGTAGACAACGATTCAGCATAGTATATAGGAAACATTCACAAGTATACCAGTGTATGGGTGTTTTCTTATAGTAAGACTCGCTCAAAGCGTCAACATAGCTCAGCTCGCTGTCATTGTCGGTCAGAGCTTCGCGACAATAATCAAGGTATTTTTCGATGTGCTCTTCATTGAAAGTAATAGTTAGTAATATTTCCTTTAAGATTTGTGTGTACATGAAAGATGAATCCAGCTGATCCAATTTCTTGTCAAATTTCATAAAACTCATCGGCATGGCATTCCGTTCACACTGCCATGCTGCTTGTTTGAGAGCTTCACAGATCGGTGTTATTTCCGTGAAAACACCTTTGATTTTTGGCCATTCTCGTGCCCATTGTTCATGATACTGCTTATTACCACAAAAGATAAATATGGAATCTACCTGAGACATACGATGTACGCGACATACGATATGCTGACCAAGTGCACCCGAGATAATCATACATGCCTTGCGATCCGTGATCGTCTCGATGAAATGAATGCAATTATCGCCATCTGTATATGTGTTAACGTCATTTACGACGCGTCGTAGCTGAGTGATGGTGTTTTGACAATCTTTGCTGCTGTTATTAATGTTGCCGTCTAACCAGATAAGAAGTACGTTCTGAATTCGTCGAATATCAAGACGCTCACATTCGTGCGTCTCAGCTGTTTTGATGTTGCTTGCCATAACGTTAGTTTGTTGGAAACTTATTATAGAAACAACGTGCAAGATTTGCTCGTCTTATAAATCTGCATCTACTTCCTAGATTTTTTTTCTTTTACTGTTCTTTGCGGAGTCTCGTTCTTTTCTGTTTTCGTTTCTAATATTCCTTCAAAACATTCGAGTATGAAACAATAACATTGGTCGGCGACAGATCAAACGAAGAGAATGTTTGCGAGACGTTGGAATTTTCAAAGAAAAAAGTTCTATAAATTTTGTTTAATAAATACGGCAAAAAAATAAGCTTGCTGGTTGGTCGTCAAAAATACTACAGATTCCATCGTTTATAACATTTATCTAACCGACGTCGTTCATAACACCGTAATGAAAATTTTACATCAGAATACTTTTGAAACATATACTCTGGAAGACTACAATGAAAACCAAATTTATCATCGCAGTGACACCCGATGGAGAATGTTTACCCGTCGTGCAACTTTCGAAAAGAATCGCTTGAACATTTCGTATGAAAGGTATATTGACAACCTAATGTTGATGGATATCTGGGAGTATTACTACCACAGCAACTGAACAACGAACGACTGTGTTCATTAGTGTCAATTCGTACCTAAAGGCATAAGTTCAGTGTAAAACCCGCATAGGATTACGAAAAGAAATTTACTCCGGGGTGATAAAGACATAACATTTTCTGTTCATTTTTCAATTGATTATAATATAAACCGCACTTTTCACATGGTGCCATGAACGGTAGATCTTCCATTAATGGTATTTGCCCGGCAAGATTCCGCCAAAATCCGCGGTAAACGAAAATTCGTTCTAAGTTTTCTTGGTGCTCTTGACTATCGAAAATTCGGAACGCTTCTCGTAAATCAACATTCTCACATTGATAGAACTCGACATGCTTCAATTTTTGACATTGCATAGCTATATGATGAATGCCATTGATCGACAATAGATTTCCTTCGAACCGAATTTCTTCAATTGCTGGAAATAGAAGTGCAGTAAGTCGTAGAGACTCATCCGTATGAATAAAATTCTTGAAATTAATCTAAAACAAACGAATGTATAGAGAAATATCTACATAGCTTTGTCCATACTTTAGTCACTAATGAAAATCGTTGGGCACTATCGTCAGATGATGCTATTTGCTTTAAAACATTTTCTAATGCTCTAGGATCTTCTGGTGGTCGAACCATTGACCACAGTTTTGCATGTACAACTTCTTCGAGACTATGATGTATACCCACATAGTTATCCATGGAACCTAAGTAAGGTAATTCCAATGTTGTCGGCCATCGTTTCAAGTCAATATATATTCGATATTTCCAGAAACGACATGTTTGAGCTAATTGCACACGACTTTTCAAATCTAAATAATCTAGCAGAATGGGAATGACATCCCGAAACGGACCCGAGTCCATGGCGAATACCGCTGAAAGACAAAGATCATAAGTTGTATTACTGTCTTGGATGTGATGATGATGAATAATTACGTGAATCGTTCGTCATCACTCGTATATTGTTTCACTTACTAAGAACAAAAATTTAAGAAAACGGTAATATGATTACCACGTGCACGTTTTTGTTTTTTCTTTTCTCTCCGACTTCATACACATTTCAAAAACATCAGTAGTTAATCAGAAGGAAGAAAGCATAGCCTTCACTGCACAACAAACGCATGAGTTACTGGTATTTCAATGACAAAAGAAAAATACACATAAGTTAAATCAATTTCGAGGCGACATATCGAATATCTTTTTCAATCTGAACTACATCTGGATGTGTTGCAGGAAACAACTGTCGATAAATGTTCGCCGCTTTTTCGAAGTATGCTAACGCTTGTTTGTAATCTCGTTTATCTTTATAAACCAGTCCAATATTTCTCATTTTTGATGCAATCGATGGATGTTGTGACGGACGAGACTTCTTGTATATCTCTAATGATAAATTCAAGTGTGATAAAGCTTGATCATAATGTCCTAAATCTGCTATAACATTGCCTATGTTCTTGTACGAACTGCCCAAGTTGATATGATCACTTGGCAGAGTTTTCTTCTGAATTGTCAATGCATTCTGATAGAATGTCAGTGCTTCCGCTGGTTTGCGCATACCACTATAAGTGTTACCAATGTTATTCATACACGTCGCTATGTACAAATGATCGTTATCATACGTATGTCGGAAGATGGTCAGTGCAGTTTCATACGACTGCAGTGCATTCGCATAATCTTTCTTCTTTTCATAGGCGTTGCCGATACTATTGTAGATTTTCGCTATACTTTGATCGTCGGATTTCAAAGTTCGCAATCGGATTTCCAATGATTGATGGTGCCAATTCAGACTCGCATCATAGTCATCTTTTCGATTAGCTAAACTACCCAGACCACTATAGCCTTTGTCGATATCTTTGCGACTCTTTGATGACTGCTGAAGATATCGATTGTAGTAACCTTCAGCTTCATTCTTTTTCTTCATATGTTCGAAAATTTCTCGCAATTGATGGTCATTAAACGAGCATAACTTCATTTGAATGAAATATATTCCAATATGATCCATACTGGTATTTTCCAGTCGGAAGATCGAGCCAATCATGAATAAAACTTCTTTTTCTTCTTGATAATAGCTAAATTTAGTAATGTCAACAAATGGTTTGATGTTTTCCAATCGAGGATCAGCATCGATAACAAAACAAACACGTTTATAATCAATGAGATTGTCATTATTGGAGAAGAACTTCAATGCTCCATTACAATCGTATGATGTGGAAGAGAAGGAATTGATTGAAACGAATCCACCGATGCAGTTCTTCAATTTTTCAACTTCTTGATTGGCCATGATTTGCGCGCGATAAAAACGAACTGGTTTTGAGCATCGATTCTGGACTAGACGTCGTTCGATATGACGAATAGCAAAACGAAATAGATAGAGTAAATGCATGTTTTGTACACGCAGTGCTTTATTTAACATTTTGTATAAGAATGACTCTGTGGAATACCACCATAGAGCATATTCCGAACGGTAATCTCGATCGAACTCCTGAATAATTTTCAATTCTGCTGGATTATAATGATTTTGCTGCCGACACAGAGCTTATAACTCCACTTTATCATTTACGCCATATTGCATTTTAACCAAACAATCGATCAAAAGTTGTGAATGGAGAAAATCACCATTTAAATCACATATAGATCGTTGACGATCACCATCACTCCCTTGTATGATGCATAATGGTAGAGCTTCATCAGTTTTATAATGCTGATGTTTTTGTGAATAAGATCATCGATTTGATTGAGTACAGCTTTCACCTAGATATAAACATTAAGAATGAGAATCACTCCTTTCCTATACGGTGAACGATACTTTAGGAAATTGTTTAGACCATTGTTCATTCTCTGTTACGTTCTTACAATAAACATAAATCGAAACAAGCTGTCGAAATTGAACGATGTATGGTACGATCAGTGGACCTAAGTGTCTACTAACAATTAGGACGATTCTATCGTGGTTTGACATACATTTGATATATGCATAGCATTGATGATGATCTTCGAAAGTAACCAAATGATTGATCGATTCTCGAAGTCTCGTTTGCGCTTGAAGATTTTCATGTGAATTGTTGACAGTTGCGTCCAGCCAGAGTAAGGAATATGTCTCGAAATTCTGTCCTGCTTGGCTAACATACGCGAAATTCACTACCATCGGAGTGCTGATGAATTCGAATGTGTATGAGAAAGCGTTTGTATTGTTAGTGAAGAGAAAAGTACTTTGAATTGTTTTTTGCGTTTCGAAACAAAGAATAAAAGAAACCTTTTATTCATTTAACTGTAGCAAGAATGCATACTTTCTCTACAGAAAAATTGCTTCACAAAGGTACCACGATAGATATATCTAGAACGGCTTGTCTCGCGCTCAGCGTACTTAGACAATAGGTGTCAAAGTAGAATAGTTTATATTTACGCAAGAAGAAATAAAAACAACCGTCGGTATTGTTTTTACCACTTGTCAATTTTACATTCATTTTGTTTTTGCCAGACTTTTCCCTCAATATCAAAATACTGTTCATCATATTCGTATTGACCATTAATTAGATCGATTGACTTTGAAACACGTAGTGATTCGTCCTGTTGATCGCAAACATTCAAAGCATGACGCTGTTTGCTGTTCTCTTTTCTTTTCCTTTTCCAGACGCTTCATTTCTAATAGTCGTTGATTTTTTACAGGATCCTCAATGTGGAGGATGTCCATAGGGACAATCCAGTCGAGCACAAGTACCTTCATTCCAACAATCACGCATTATCATTTGCATTTATTTTGGATGAGCACACACAATTGTAGACTTTTTTGTCTGCTGTGCTTTTGACGATTTGACATTTTCTCCAAAAGCTGCTCTAATGATTTATTCAAGCCTTTTAAATACGGAATACATTACTTGGAAACCACCTACTTGCTTTTCTTCCTACGTTTATCGCATTGTTCTGTTTGATGTCTCTACATCCAGAGAACGAATACTTGTTCTCCAACAGTGAAAATATTACAATTCTTTAAACGCGAATGAAACAGGATATCATATCAAAGTAAAATATCTATTCAAGTTAGTGCTTTGCATGATCTTCTTCGACTTCACTCTGCTGTATTCATCATACGACGAACTCATTCTTTTTATGGAAAGCTCAGGAATGAAAGCTTCGGAAGAGTTCGTTTTTGTCTCAGATTAATTATAAACAATCTCAATTACGACTAGAAGTTTCACTGGTCTCTAGCAATTTGAGGATGCCACTAGCATCAAACGCCATACACCTTTCGCTGTAAGAAAAATATAGCAAGTATCTTATGAAACTATTCATGCATTCGTTCGTCCATCCACACCCTAGAGCTCTGTCGTGATTCCTCGTTTAAATGCAGAGTCGGCAGACGAGGTGATTCAACTATTCCACTGTTCTATCACCATATTTTGCATGAATGCATATACAATGCATTCAATTGACTCAACTAAAGTCAGTATGTATAATGCTTAGAATTTTGAATCCATCCATATCGAAGAATACTCATATCTTTCGCTAACACCGTGGTAATTACTTTCAACATTACACGCTTTATTTTCGACGCGTATACTGTGTTATGAAATGCTACTTGTAAAGCGTCACGCATTTTCTGGCGTATATGCATCGTCATATAATTTTAAAAATTGTTTAAGTTGCTGACGCGGATGATTACACCTATAAAAAGAATCAGCCAACAAGATTCTTGATCTACTGCAACACAATACTATGTATTATTTGATTTTTGTAATAGATTTTCAACATTGGCTAGTCCGAGTTTTTTCTTCTGGAATCAGTTCAGTACAGTAAAGAATGGGACCTGCACAAATTAACTACTACACGAAATCTAGATGTGGGCCATTCTGTATGGCTTTTTATTCCAAAATTTGTTTTTCGGTTTGCACTGGTGAAGCACAAGCGTGCTGTATTGTCTGTCCTTTTCTTTCGTACTCTTTCTCCTTACAATAAACAATTAGTGAGTAAATTAACTAAAATTGAAAACATACTTTTTACTCGTCTTATCTATCTTTAAATTAATTGTTTTTTTGTGCATAAATGAAAACTAATAGACTTGTCATCGTTTTGTTTAATTTTACTTTCACATTGCACTTTCTATTGCGAAGTATAATGAACAGATAACGAGTGTATAAAATGCTATTACGTTCTTTCATTCGTACTCACGCATAAAATCATAGTGTAGAATGTGCATCAATTAACATTGACTTTCACCATTGTGTCTTGTTAAGATCCGAAAGCATCAACGGATAAGATAATCAGCATTGATACAAAGGGAATAAAATCATAGTGTAGATGAGCGTCAAGAGACAGCAATGCACGTATACGTGCTCCCTCATCCCCGCAAAGATATTCAATTACACTCTCAATTCTAGATTTACTAAAACTTGATTTTAAAATAGATACCTTTGCAAGATAATCAACATTTTCGATAATTTGTCATTCATCCTGATAAACTATCCATGGAAACCGTACAAGCATCAATCATATCGCTGCACAGTGATCTTAAAACTACAAGTTCACTGCAAAGCAATATCAACAAACTTCAAATACCAAATATTCCAGATGAGTACATTATCATTTTGGATGAACACGCGCAAGTTATCTTTACTAGTCAATACACATCTGATCAAATTATACGGGGAATTCAAAACTGGGAAATACTTCGCAAATTCTTCTGTGATGATTCAAACGTTGATAGTGTAGAAAACAACATTTCTCAGTATATCCTACAAACTGTGCGGCAACTAACGCCAAAACATATGACTGAATTTATGCTCAAGCTTTGCAAATATCGCGCAGCCTACATTGATGATCTCTTAGATCAACTCATGAAGTTATTTCCCAATCAAATCATTGTTGAAAACGAGGCGGGTAGCCGAGATCCTGAGTCTGATTATGATATTCGCTTGGCTTCGACCGATGGAAGTGATGTAGATATAGATGCTTGCGTTATGTTCAATGCTTTTTTCTCACAGCATTGGCACTTGCCATCTGGTATCGTTTTCGATACTAATTTGTATCCAAGAGACATGGGTGCAATTGAACCGAAATATAAAGTCAAAGGGACCGGTCTGGGAATATTTCTACACCTACCGTGCGATTATCCGTACTATTTCTTCTATGAAGTTAATGATTATAAACAGAATAAAATATCAGCTGTTCAACTACGAAGATATATGACTGGAAAAGAATGGCAAANGTGCCAGTGTCAACATAAGACTGGGTGACTTGTCCAGTTGAAAATGAATTGGATTGCCCATTGAATGTTGCACCAACAGTTTTCGGTACAATGATTTCAATAGTAAGGTTCGTCCAAGGAGTTGAACAACTGATAACGATGGCGTCACGAGCATAATAGTTACCTCGCGTTGAAGATATACTAACAATACCTGTAAATATGAAAGTGATATTTTGGTTTCGAAGAAAACAAGTAGGGTTCTTTATGAATACTAGAAAATCTTTTCATCTATTACCTGTAGTAGTTGTACTACTTGTCGTCTGTGTAGTTGTTTCTGTAGTCATTGTGACAGTAGTCGTATCTGTAGTTGTTACAGTTACGGTGCTAGTTGTTGTACTGATGCTGGTGCTGGTGCTGGTACTAGTTAGCGTCGTTGCTACAGTTACAGTGCTAGTTGTTGTACTGACGCTGGTGCTGGTGCTGGTACTAGTTAGCGTCGTTGCTACAGTTACGGTGCTAGTTGTTGTACTGACGCTGGTGCTGGTGCTGGTACTAGTTAGCGTCGTTGCTACAGTCACGGTGCTAGTTGTGAATGCTGTTGATGCCGATGTTACTGACCAAACAGAATGTTTTCACAGAGAACTGATGATAATGTGAAGTAGAGCAAACTTACTTCTTGTTGTTGTGCTCAATTTATTTATGAGCAATAGTCCAACCAGTGTAGCAACACTGGCAAGAGCCAACGCTAGGAGTAGACTGGATGCTAAGCAACAACATGGCGAACAACACGAAAAAAATGCTTTCAAAGGATGTGAATGACGGCGGCGACGTCGACGATAATAGTCATATCGATCTCGGTTTCCAGTTTCAGCCTTAATATCGTATACAATGAACATACGCCACATTAAAATCTTTTCATAGATCGAAAGTTTGCTAATACCTCTTTGCTGTTGAACAAAGATATGTTAGGAGTGACACCTAATGACTTTGATGTTGAGAATGGTTCAATGCGAGATAAAAATGAAGCTTTCGAATGACTTGTTGTATAAAACGAGTCAAAATGAATTAAAGGTGGCGATCTCTTTAGATTAAAATAAAACTTCAAAGAAAGCATATCCAGAAAATGTCCTACCTGAGACTGTAGTTTATTTGTTGTCAGATCTGATTGATTCAACACTATGTCTGACTTCTTCACTCTGAGATCAGTGGAACTAAAAGGCTTTGCTTGAATCTGTCGAAAGATTATTGAAGTTAATATGAATAAGTCGTTACAGTAATACGTACAGTTTGGGATTGTGAATAATCTTGGTACCCATTTGGTTTTTTCTTAGCTCTAACAGCTACAACTCTTGTCGAACGCTTCATATTGATACGTTTCAAAAGATTGCTTCTATTTACACACTATGAGAGCAGAAGAGAAAAAATTGAAATTATAAGAACATTTTCAAAGTGCGCTTGAAAACATGCAAATATTATTTTTGTCATTGTTTCCATGTATAACTACCATGTTTTATTGGCAATAATAGTGTCAAAGAAGCTTTAGTAGCGAGAAACATAGGAAAAAAGGATGAAGAATTGATTATTTCGTACATACTGATCATACTTTTATAGCATAATAAGCAAGAAACCTGTGATGAGATTTGTTTTCAATTCTAATAAAGATACGGGAGTAGGTATTGTATGTCGTGGTTTAGAGTTAGATTACCTGCTTTACCGACTGTCGATGTACGGCGGCATATTAACAATGTATCCACATTTTTATATAGGTTCCCATGAAAGATCCGCAATGCTCTCCTCACCCCCATCATGGCCAAAGAAGCAACACAAATATGTATAAAAGAGAAGTTATCGTTACAAATACATATTTATTAACTCCATGTTTTACATCCTTATCCTCAACATTCGATGAGAGGACAGCTGTTGATACTACGTCATGATGTAATGTTGCGACACGCGATTATTACGATAGCAATCAACTATTTGTACCGAATAAATGAGAAAATGAAGCGTAGCAAAACCGTATCCAAGCGTATATTCGAAAATTTACTCTGTGAAGAAGGGAAAAAAAGAAAATTTTTACTGAAGTGATAATCTTTCTCAGATGAGTAAAGTTTGTTGCGAACCGCTTTGCCTAATATGTTGTTTTAATGATTTGCTTAAATTAAATAGATATATCACTTGCAATATCTAAAGATGAAATAATTGAAGAATTCAACTGACAGACAAGGTACTAACACTCACAAATATAATGATATCAATGAAGTAAAGAATAATATAGAAGATCTCCACAGATGTTGTGGAGCTGCTTGTGTCAACAGTCGATCCTGATACTGATGCTGGTTTGAAGCCAAAGAAGACAGAAACAACGAAATGAACAGATAATAAGAGTACACCAGCTACTGCGATCCATGCAAACTGGAATATAAAATAGGATGAAGAATAATTCATACAATACGAAAAACAGATTCCTGTGTTTACCATGAGTACACCGACACGATCGAGTTTGATTATAAAATAAAGACAAATGCACTCCAGTACCATATCTTGCCAGACTAAAATAGAAACTTTTTTTCATGAGGAACCAATACTATCAGATCTTGGAGGAATTTCAAATAATTTTTGACAGCATACGTTCTATTTTTCAACGGTGCATTCGTACCTTAATTGAATATCGCCAAAAATATTAGAAAGAGACATACCATCGTTAAAACGATCAATGATTTTCTCTTCGACATCTATCGTTTGTGATTGATTCTTGTATCGTCCCATTGAAACAGTTTCGAACATGCTTACCACTACATATGTTACCTAAATACTTATAATCATAACATGATCGAAAAGAATAAGTGTAAAGAAGGGAACGTACCAATCCGAGTGCGGTCAAAATGATCAGAATCTTTTGCTGTTTCCTGATTTGATCACGACGATCATTTTGGATCTGTGAACCGTACATTACTGACTCTAATTATAGGATACTAATGCTATATAAGTTTCTCTTTGTCTACAAGAGAACAAGATAGATGATAGACAGTTCAACTCAACTAGAATTCTTCCAGAATATCCTAATATACGAAGTATTGGCGCAAGGAGAAAAAGAAGATTAGAAGGATTTAGGCATAAAATCAATCATTACTCTTATCACCTTCAAATCCATACATATATCTATCTCTTTCTTTTCTTTTCGTACACGCCTTGCTTGAATGCTATTCCCACTTGTTGATTATCTATGTAACAATCACATTTTTCATCAACAGACAACGAGAGTGTGCGATAGGTAACAGTACCATACTATATAGCAAGATAAAGAACGCGAATTTAGTTTACATCAAACATTTGTAACTGGATAGGACAGTATTTCTCCCACATCATGTTTCATGCAATGTGTCATTGACTTTCATACCGAAGAAATAATAAAGCTTGCTTCTCTGTTTCTTTTTGAATGTATACAGTTTGTTCATTAACATAGGAATGTATAAACGAACATGAGCAAAAGAAAAGATGAGTAGAGGTGGATGTATCCTGATGCCATCACATCGTAACACTAATACAAGGACAATTAATGATAATCTTACTTTTTAATCACAGTTTCTCATAACCACCCAATTTATCCTTCCGTGTACTGTCGGTCCTTTTACTCTATGTAAGCACGTTTAAGATTTCTTAAATTTAATTGAATCGATATTGAATGCAAATGACAAGCAACACTTTGTGACAAAAAGCTTTATAAAAGAATATTTCATTCAAGGATTACAATGGTTTGTCTTTTAACACATCGGCTTCTTTTTAATCCATATAGATCTACAAAAATCGATAATGAGAGATGTGACCAATCTTACTCCAATTAACAGAGCTTACTTCATTCAGAGCGAATAATAATTGATCGATCTTTTCTGGAAAGCGTTCAATCGGGTCGTGATACTCTTCATGCATTTGTGCATCTCGTTCAGCTTGAATCTCTTCCTCTGATACGCTTTTCAATCCTAAACAGACACCATACATTTGTAAAACTAAAATCAGTTCAATACTCGTTACCTATCCATTTTACAAATGTTTCCAACATCAATGAAAATACTTCAGTGTGTTTATCATCGACATTTTTTCTTATGCAACGAAAATTATCACTAATAATTGACATAAACATACTGATACACACGAATACCACGCATATTATGAATAAACTAAAGCAAAAGGGACCAAGAAATGCCGCTGCTCCACTCAGCTCCTGTGCGTTGAATTTCATCAATGTCATTTCGAATAACATCTGTGCCGTTCCCAATAGACTTGCACATTCTCGCAGTTTCGACTGGAATAAGAGATAAAAGAGACACATAAATGATGTAAACACCAACGAGAACATCACTGAAAACGATAATAGCTCTTTAGCAGAATACTGAAGTGTATGAATGAACAAACAAAGTCGTGAATTATGTCGACATAATTTAGCCAATTGAATTGTACCAAAAAAGCAACAAAACCCCAACAAATATGTTAGAACATCATTGACATATATGGCTAGTTGTAGATTGACATAAACGTAACCATTCGTTTCGTCAAATAACTGACCGATTCGTTGACTTTCTCTGTATCGCCAGATGTAGATGACAACACTTGCCCATGAACAAATGATGATTCCCAGCTGAGCATAGCACCAGAAACCAACAAAGTATTTCCATCTTAGATCAAACAATGATTTCGCTTCAATCCACATGAAGTACAAGATCACCAGCATATATATAATTATGCAGACTAACTCAAAAATTGATCTGAATGCTAGGAAAGAAGAGAAAAAGCTGTATATATAGAAAGTGTTAATAGGTTTGCTTACCATAGAAAGTAATGGGTTCAAAACGAGCACTCGTCGACACTCCAGTTGATGAAAGAAATTCAGCAAGAAAAGTCACACCGGTGAACAGCTCAACGTTAGCATTGTACAAAGTCATCTGAATGATCACAGCTCGAGTCTGATTGTCAATCCAACCGAGTTGATGAAGTGCAGAAATATTACTTTGAACATCGTTCAATCGACCACGAAATTCATACACATAACCACCACTTCCATAACTTGCATAATCTCCAACATATACATATGTGTCTAGCTCATCACCAAATGTGTATCGAAATGCTTTTCCAACTGATGAATGAAACGTTTGTGACGATCGATTAAACCACCCAGGTGCATACGATTCTCGATCTTCATTCTTCACACTATAGTCACCCTGACATATCGAAGAGATGCTATTTTTCATTTGACATAATGCAGATCTAACTCTCAACTGCCTCATCGTTGCCCATCCAATCAAACGATTCGCTTTGTCATCAATGAAACCAGTGAGATATCGAGGTGGATCACCATTGTACCACTGCTGAGCACGAAGATCATCGACAAAACTCTTTTCCAACCAATGCCAATACTGATCAACAGTTGAAATCTAAATCAATTCACAGTAGACCATGAAATTAAGCTCGACTAGAAAACTAACTTTTGTATAATCAAGATCAGCTTGTGTTGGATTGAGGAAATATCTTCTAAGATGATGCACCTGATGAAATGCATTTGAATCTCGGCTCGAATAGATCAACACATAAACTACTGACAAAAAACACGCACGCAGCATTATTTCATGAATGACAGACCACATTTGCATCTGTCTCAATCGCTCATTACGCAAACGAACGATTTCACCTTCGTTCAAACAATGAACAGGAAAAGATGCTGGGCGAGTGAACAGAGATTTGTTCTACAATACATGAATTCCTATTAAATGTAAAAAAAACATTACAGAGACAAACCTGCAATGCATGCAGATATTCTTCATCAGCTTGTAGATCGATTTGATCGTGGTCATTTAACAACTCGTCTGCTTCTTCATCATTATGTGGGCTTCGACAAAAACAAACAAAGAAAATGGCCAATGCTATGATCTAAAGCAACAAGACATGTGTGTTACACATGTGATCACAAGAACAAGCAATACTCACTCTCAGTGGTTGAGTGAACAGAATTGAAGAAAATAAACCACTGATAATGGATATCAACCATTTCTCAGTCTTCTCATCACCAAACTCAATGCCGCGAGCAATGATGAACAGAATGGAAACAGTCACACTGATTAGACATAGTCCATAACCAAGCAAAACAAACCACCATGGAAACATTAACGTTTTCTTCTTTTTCTCCTTCTTCTTTTGCTGCTGCTTCTGCTCGCTGACATTGTTTTCAACATTGCCTTTTATTTTGTACAACGCTTGACGCAATGGTGATTGTTGTTGTCCACGAGGACGAACACGACGAAACAGCTGAACAAGCAACAAGCTGGGAATCAATGCAAACACCTCAACAATCACACCAATCATGATCTGCAAACAAATACACAAAAGTAATTCAAACACACAAATCATTTGGTTTACCTGCTGCGGACCGATGCGAATGGGTCCGAACGATAAATTCAGTCCATCTGTTGATTTGGTCTCGTTTGCCAAGTCATAGTACATGATATTGAGAAACATCGAAACAAACAACAGAACAAAACAACATGTGCATCGTTGAACACGAGTGAATCGAGTGGATGGTGGACGAGAAAAGATTGAAAACCAAAGATGACCATCAGACACGCTGTGATAAGTTCGTTTTGTCAAAACGAATGAGAACTGACTCTTTTCCAGGTCACTTGCAACATGCAGAACACGTTCGATCTTCCCATCATCTTTCTCAACTGCAAACCATCGTTGACTGATGAAATGAAACTTTTGCATTGTTTGAAGATCACGAACGATGATATATTTCAGGAACCAAGACGAAGATGAACTTTTGCCACTGTTGTCATGCCAAATGCGAATACAATTCAACAATCCCAACGAGTTGGGAACACTCATGAGGAATCCATCAACTCCACCTCGCTGGAGAATGTGACGATGAGGATCTGCCAATGTTCGAATGCGAGTGTCATTCTCATCACCGTGAATCACGAAATGAACATTCGATTTCGTTCCAGCATCTCGTCGTTGGCCAGTGAACACAATTATCTGATAGAAATAGTTGTCGTTCTTGTTATTATCGGGCAAGATTGTAACACCTAGTTTCTCTATGTCTTTCTTGTCGTAGTACCGTGCATAAATGGCCAGAAGTACATAGATTACACAAACAACAATCACTGTCAAATAGATGGTTTTGTTTTTCATGAAATCAGCATTAGCAAACACATAGCTCCAGTCGACTGTTTCAGGTAGAATAGTAAATCCACCGGCGAATGTTGTCAGATGAGTAGAATAACACTGTGTTTGATAGTGATTGGTCAGCGGGCCAACGATGAGTCCATCTGACTGCCACTGTTGATTTGCATCGAGATAATAACAGCCAGATGTGAATATTCTGAGTGCATAGTCTGCGGTGAAGTTGAACGGTTGATCTGTGATGGGAGGAACAGGAAGTGATATGTTTGAACAATGTTGAGTGACTTCAGTTGTATTGAGTTCTCTCAAACCAAAGATGATCGACTGATGACCAGCTGTTTGTTGATTATCGACATAATAAGTGTACACACTGTCATTTGTGAGATTGGAAGGACAAAAAAGCGCCCATCCATCGATGTGATTGATTGAAGTATTGAGTTGTGGTGTTTGATCGAAACGATAGACAAACAAGTAAGCGAGACTTGTACTCGCTGGTTCGACTTCCCAATGAACTGAAACTGCCAGTGATGATGATGACAAACTCACATATTGGAAATGGAAGAGGAGTTGATGAGGAGAAGTGGAGTTGAGTGATGTGACATTCTGACGAATCATTGGTGGAATGATGAGATTGGGATCACGAGGAATGATGATTTCGATTGGTTGACTGTTGTTTGTTTGGATTGGAACTTCGTTTTGATCTTGATCAAGAATGGAGAATGAGAGTGATCGGGAGAGATTGGTGTTGGATGTTGATTTGGAGTTGCCGAATGGTGCCAATGGTTCCATCATTGACTAAAGAACAAAGAGTCAGTCACTTGTGCGAATAGTAGTGAGAAACTCACTCGAATGGAGATCTTTTCGTTTGTGCCAAGATAAGACGCAAAATTATTGGGAAGTTGAACTTGACCGCTGCCGATGGTTTTTGTGAAGTGATTTGCAAGTGATTGCGAAGATTTGGTCTCTAACGTCATGATGACTTGTGATGTTTGGATGTGAAGATCTTGTCCAATGTTGAGATGAATGTTCAATGTTGAAGTCAATAGTGAGATGAGTTCAGTCATTTGAATGTTGATTTGACGAGCTAGTTGTTGCTGATAGTAGAGGTTGCGTTTCGTTTGTATTGTTTCCAATGAGTCATCATCACCAGCGGCAAACATACCTAGATATTGCAGATTAGGAATGATAAGATAAAATGGGAACATGTTTTACGTGAATTAGCCCACTCCGCCTCTAGATCGGTATCATAGTCTTCGGGAAACACTGTAGCTACGACTGAATCTGAGTCAAGAATAGTGGTTCGTGCTTGTAAAGGTGCATTTACGGCCTAAAATTACTAGATATATTTTTAATTTAGATTCACAAAAAGATTCTTACGTTCAGTATATTAGCAGCACATTGAAGCAGATTAGGTGCAGTAAGTTGAACGTCTTCAAAGGCAATGTTCATTTTCATTGAATCCAAAGCTAATCCCAACTGATAACATCGGTTCGATACACTTGTCTACAACACATTTGAGTGTGAAAGGAAAAGAGAGAATGAAATCATACGAGAGTTGTTCGCGTCATTTCATTGGTTGATTTTGTGAACTGTGCCAATGATGATGCTTGCAGTTTGATACTATTCGATGTTGTTATAGGGAGATTCGTGAGGAAGGTGACAAGATAGTCACGAGCTGATGCACGAGAGTTTAATCGAGCGCTGAATTCATCCAATGCGGATTGATTGGATGGCGTCGACAATGTCTGTTGTTGATTCTGAATATCTAATGATGATACAGATATACTTGCAGCTGGAATACCATCTAAATAATAAAGATGCAATGTTAAGCAGCATGAACGGTTTATAACTGCAAACAACTGACTTGAGATAGCTTCATTAATATTTTCGCTACTAATTTCATTAAGTTGCTGTGATACTGAACTTATCACTTGCACAACTAGGTTTTGATTTTTACTGGCAAGCATCTGATTTATTGCATTAGTACTATCAGTGTTCGATGAGTTTAGAATGTGGAGCATTAGATCATCGATTATCATCAGATTAGGAAGTACAGTAACTGATAAAGTGTTCGTCTCTGTAACACAATCTATTTGATCTCGTACTTGAACAGTTAAGTAAAGTAATGATGTTTGATTATCACCAGTTGGTAGATATAACTGTATTGTAGGCGCATTGGAGTAGGCAACGATAGTTTTCTGTGTTGAATTAATTGCGGAACCTAAGAAAATACAAAAAATGTTTAGTATTCGCTTTGGAAAAGACTTTTATATACTGTAGACAGTGTAATCTTTTATTCCATCGGTGTCAAAAAAGTCCTTGCATGAAACCGTGAACAAAGTAGTTGTCGTTCCATTCATAGGATCAACGATACATGATCCATTGGATGGTGGTCGATTGATAACAAAGTTCAATGAACTCACACTTTTCTCCGTTGCAAAACTATAAACAACTTCAAATCGCCAAAGCTCAATCTGTGGATTTGACAGAAACAACTGATTTGTGGACGTGAAGTTACTCGTGTTTCTTCCTAAAACATGCATTCGGATCTTTCCTGGCACAAAATCAAACGATTTAGTTTACCAAAAAAACAGATATTATCATAAGTAGTAGTCTGATTGAACAACGACCATTGGGTGAAGTTTGATGATGAGTTCATTGTATTGCTACTGAAATAAACAGACCATGTGATGTTTTGGACTGTTGAACAGTTTCCAGCACAAACTGAAAACAAAGCCACTTGAGTTGTTGGATTCACAAGCTGAAACTCGAGATTCGCCTCACACATTGTCCAGATCACACAACTACAATCAATCATTTACAATCATAACAAACGAGAGAAGAAAAGATAGCGATACCCAATCAAGATCATGAATGGACGAGTGTCATCCACTTTCACAAGAACATAGCCAGTTGCTTGCAATGAAGCATTGCGACGATTTTCCATCTGAACCATGAACTGATATGTTCGATTAGATCGAAGTGAGTTAGCAAGAATGGTGAATGATGAGTTGAGTGAGTTGTCAAATGTCCATCCATTTCGGTTGGACAAACAAGACGGATTGGATGAATCAGTTCTCGGATCATCCACTGTCAATAGTGAACCTTGCAGATTTGGAAACGTGAATGAACCATAGATTCGGCAATAGTATTTGTATTTCCATTTCTAAACAAAAGACAAGATGACGAGGCGCGGAATGATAACTTCTATGTCAAAGTTTATACCGAAGCATCAAATATAGCCTCATCAGCATCAATAGAGTAATTTCCAGAATCTAGCTGAAGATTTTGTCCAGTACCATGTGTGAACATCGATGTGCCGTACTGAACTAGGTTCGCTGTTATGCCTGATGGCATGATTTGAACATAAACAACGGACGATGCAGAAACGTTCGTCATATTAAGCATGGCGATAGTGAGGTTGAATTCGTAGAGACCATAAGACAGAGTTCGAGCAGGAACAAACAGTTCAGTGAATGTTGTGATGATGTTTGGACCAGCAGAGATCTGTTGTGAACATGAAGAGGTGCAGTTCTTAATTGTCCATTGACTATTCACTGACGATGAGATATTACAGTTTAAATCAATACGCGAAACAATCGAAAAATCTTGACTTCGACGAAATCGAACGGGTGATGATATCGTCGTGGTGTCTGGTATCAGTGTGATTGTTGGCGGAAGACATACTAGAAAGAGTGCATTTCGATATGTCATTATTATTTGATCGAGTTGCGCGCTGCTAGGCAATTTGAGCCTACTATCAAAAGTAGATCTCACTGTATGATATCTTTCATTTACTTCAATTGCATAGAATATACAAATGATGAACAAAAACTGCAACGAATATAGAGAATCTGATTAGTATGATGTAGTTCGAGCAAAACAGAATGTGTCAGCTAATGAAAAAAACATCTCCGTATGATTGGAAATGTGATTTCAAGTTTGAATTTAGACAAAGTGATAACAATTATCTTAGGAGCCCTGTGGATCTGATACGTTAATTTGAAAGGAAACGTTATAAGCGATTCATCAGTAATGCTAACTTAACGCACTCTATTTTGAGAAGTTCGGAGAAAATGACCTTATAAGATTTAATTGAATCCCTATCACAACATCATGTTAAACGAACCTTTTGAACTTGCTACTATGGTCGAAGTAGTCGTTGTTTGGTAACCAGCGGTTAATGTTTGATCTAAAGTAGAATAAATTTTTATTCAACGAGTTTCGAGTGTAGAACTCATCATGCGATTTCAAGCGTCCTTACTTTGTTGCGAAAGAAAATTGACACTAGACAACTTATTAAACTTCGTAGACGTTATGCGGTGCAGGGCTAACCGAATAAGCATAATAAACGAGACAACTAGATTACTGCTCATCTTTTCTGTCTCGTAAAATCTCGTAAGAAAATTTTTAACAAGAGAGAAAACATTATTTATCTGATTGATCGATATAGATGTGCCAATTTCATCTGAAATCTGATACGAATACTATGACAGCAGTGAAATATTCTAAATGATTGTTAGCGATCAAAGTTCAACTAAGAACAAGAAAGTTTCCTAGTTCGAACATTGCCTATCTCTACACGACACTAAAAGACATCAACGACGTCGACAATATAACAGGTATAATAAGCAAAACAGAAACCGTTGTATTGACACAAGTACAGGAATCATTTCTACACTTACTACAAAAGTTTTCTAAGAGATAGAATTTTTGAATACGTTGATAGTTGGTATCTGTCACGAATATATTTCCGTAACTATCAAAGCTCATCGATATTGGATAGTACAGCCGAGTTGATAACGATCCAAAAAATCTATAGCATCCAGCTACACAACGGAAACCATTGGATCCTGACCCTACAATGCGCTGATTGTGGCTATCTACGATAAATAGGTAACCATCGGCATCGAGAACAACTCCAGTGGGATACGCGAGTGAGATAGTAAGATTGATCGATGTACTTCCTGCAACTGTAATGCCATTAAGCTGCCCTGGCCGAAAGAGCTGAATACGATGATTGTATTGATCTGCTACATATAGATCAAAGTTAGCGTCCACAAATATTCCCATAGGATAATAGAGGTAATATGAATTGCTAGAGGCATAACCTGTACCAGCAACGACTGTCACAGTAGCAGAATTGTCATTCATCCATCTTTTTACCACTTTATGGTAACTATATATTGAACAATACACAACATCAGTCAGATCAACAAATAAACCATAACATGATGAACTCATATACATGACAGGTACACTTGTATTTGCTGTTGTTGTTCGTTTATCTACTCGACCGTTATAGTATCCATTATCAACGAAAATATCACCATTGGTTGTGACAAAAAGTGAATATGAGTTCATGTTGGTACCATAGATGGATTGTGATGGAATATCACTTCCATTAGACCAAATCTGAACACGATAGTTAGCTCGATCGGCAACATAGATGGTATTGTTGATGCTGATGAAGATACCCTCAGCTGATAATCCAACGGTGCTGCTAGTAGCAAAAGTGATTGCATTAGCACTCCACATTGTATGCGTATCTAGCTTCGGTCGATTATATGAGGCAACTAAATGAGAGGAAAAATTCACGAAATTAAACTTGTGAAGGAAAGCTATATTTATAAGATTATCATACAATCTCCAGAGTGAAGAAAAGGTTAAAGAAGGAAATCTATATAAATGACTTTACAGTTACAGATTAAGATTCCTCGTCGGACGATTACCGGTTTGCACTGGAGGCGTTGTTACGACAGTGGATTGTGTAGTAATTGTTGTTAGCAGATTAGATTGAACTGTGGTTGACATTGTATTTCCTAAAATTAATTGTATTTTTAGTGAGCGGAAGAAAATGTTCTCGTTACCAGTATACAGGCTTGCAGTGCTTGTAGTTTCTAAAACACAGAAGAAAACTTTAGATCAATAACTAATCTCGTAACGACGATGGAAATTTCTCTCGGTTATGTTGTTCTGTGTGAGAACACAATAAAGTTGTGTAAATTCTGGCAAATTGATATGTTATCAGATAAAAAACAGCATACTTGCTAGTGGATTGTTTCTGACATCTTTGCTCTGATCTACTTACCACATGACTCCGTGAAGTAGTTAAACTTCTGAATACGATTATTACTGCTATCAGTGACGAACATGTTCCCATAGATATCAAAACTCATCGATATTGGATAGTACAGCCAAGTTGATAACGAAACAAAAAAACTATGACATCCAGCTATACAACGGAAACCATTTGAACTCGATCCAACAATACGATGGTTGTAGCTGTCTACAATAAATAGGTAACCATCGAAGTCAAGGACAATTCCAGACGGGTACAAGAGTGGAGTAGTAAGATTGATCGATGTACTTCCTGCAACTGTAATGCCATTAAGCTGCCCTGGCCGAAAGAGCTGAATACGATGATTGTATTGATCTGCTACATATAGATCAAAGTTAGCGTCCACAAATATTCCCATAGGATAATAGAGGTAATATGAATTGCTAGAGGCATAACCTGTACCAGCAACGACTGTCACAGTAGCAGAATTGTCATTCATCCATCTTTTTACCACTTTATGGTAACTATATATTGAACAATACACAACATCAGTCAGATCAACAAATAAACCATAACATGATGAACTCATATACATGACAGGTACACTTGTATTTGCTGTTGTTGTTCGTTTATCTACTCGACCGTTATAGTATCCATTATCAACGAAAATATCACCATTGGTTGTGACAAAAAGTGAATATGAGTTCATGTTGGTACCATAGATGGATTGTGATGGAATATCACTTCCATTAGACCAAATCTGAACACGATAGTTGGCTCGATCGGCAACATAGATGGTATTGTTGATGCCGATGAAGATACCGAAAGGTGACCAACCAATTATATTGTTTCCTCCAGCAGCAAATGTAGTTGCATTTGGATACCACGAAGCATCTGGGCAGAATTTGGGTTGGTTGTATGATGGAACTGAAATGTAAATGAGTGAGCAGTCGCAGTTGAATTTGTAGATGATTATGTGATAAAAAGAAAAATGTTGCTGTTCGTCACAGCTAATTAACACTCACTGATGGAAGCTAACGAGCAAGTGGTAAAATAATAAGCTATAAATGAATTATGGATTACTCACCGCGACTATTATTCAAGCGAATAAATTTCTGAATACGACTGTTACTAGTATCAGTGATGAACATGTTTCCATAACTGTCAAAACTCATCGATGTTGGATAATACAACTGATCTGTGTTTGAACCTGCGCTACCAGTGCATCCAACAACGCAGCGAAAGCCACTTGAATCTGATCCGACAATGCGATGATTGTATTTATCGACGATAAAGAGGTAACCGTCGAAGTCAAGAACAATTCCAGACGGGTAAGAAAGTGGAATAGTAAGATTGATCGATGTATTCCCAGCAACTGTAATACCGTTAAGTTGTCCTGAACGAAAGAGCTGAATACGATGATTGTATTGATCTGCTACATATAGATCAGAATTGGTGTCCACAAATATTCCCCAAGGCTGATTCAGCATATTTGCAGCATATCCAGCGGAACCTGAACCAGCAACGGTTGCGAATGCATTCGAGCTTGTTTTTAACGACTTCGATACTATCTGATGACGACTCTGCATCGAACAGTAAATAATGTCGTGCGCATCAACAAAGACATCGTAGCATTTCGAACACAGATACAGTACCGGAACACCACTTGATGCATTCGACGTCCATCTATCGATCCGACCAGTAGAACTGGCGCTGTCAATATAAATCTCGCCAGCAGTTGTGACAAAAAGGCTGTATGGAGACGACACATTACGCGAGAGATTCTGTATCGGCCAAGTACTCCCTTGAGTCCACACAAGAACGCGGCTGTTTGCTTGATTGGCCACATAGATGGTGTTGTTTGTATTGACGAAAATATCAAATGGGCTGGATCCAACCGAATTCACATTCGCAAACGTGACGGCAGACGGACTCCACATTGCATGGGGATCAAGCTTTGGTCGATTGTATGAAAGTGCTAGGTAAAAAGAGAAAGTTTCTGAAGTACATCTTCTTATCATTTACTATGATGTTGTTTATCAACATCTACGACACTCTAACTCTATCAACTGAAGAACTACGTCATTATACTTTTTGTTTAAAACTGTTTGGTATGCTACGATAGAGAACTACCATTACTCTACAATTATGTTAATTCAAGCGTTTCGATAATATGTCAAGCAGGCGGAAGATCCTATTTATTTTCCTGCTAAGTAGCCTTTTGCATTAGCTTCCCCTTTTGTAGAGGAAAATATTATGCCACACAGAATCCGTGGTTCGTCAAAAACTTCAAAAAATGTGTCGTTGTACAACTCTATATTCAATTATATGAACGAAACTATATAGTGATTTATACTCTTCACTCTATCAACAATAACATTCTAGCTCGCTTCGACTTCAAAATGAAGAAATGCAGTATGCTTACAATTATGTCAACAGACGTCAATAAAAATGATTCTGCTAAGTACACATTTAATCAAAATGATACCAAAATCGTGTTAATTACTTACTCAAAACTTCTTCAATGATCATCAGGATGATCCAAAGTTTGAATCGATCAATGACAATCATTATCAGTGGGATAAAAATTGGTCGCTGTTGCCGATTTCTTCAATGTAATCAAAAATTGAACGAGTTGATTGCAGTCAAACTAACAACTTCTTGGAGATTTATATTCCTTTTCATCGTTTACTTATTTTCTTCTCCTATGACGTCTATCGGCCGATTATGTACCCACTTTGAATCGAACTGTAATCGAGAATTCTATTACCAAACATTCGTCTATGTTCAAGACGGTTCAACTTTTTGACTAAACTATAGTTTCATTGATAGTCTTTTAAAAAGTCGCAGTGCTATTTTAATCCCTGAAAACCCATATCAATTCTCATTTGAGATTAGTCAATATGATTCAGATTGATTCACCGCGATGTTCACATTTTCCGACAAAAGATAAATCAATTCCATTCAATTAAAATTATCGGACAAAGACATGCCTATTTTTTATTACCGAGAAATTCTTCTGTTAAATACCAATGCGAAGGAAGAAAAACGGCCAATATGTGACTTTCTTTGTTAAATTAATTCATTAGTATTTATTCGATACATCGGAAATCAAAACGGCGTTTCTTTCGATCGACTTTTACAAGAACATTGAAAGCTTTTGGAAAAGGTCGCAAGAAGATAACCATCCTTACGACCTGGACAATCACTTATTTTTTCAAGGTGTGCACTTGATGGTCGTGTAGTGTTCAAGAGCGAAATACGGACTGGAGAGTAGTTGTTATTTTTAAATGCACTACTCTCTACACACACTTTCCAATGCACACTGTTGCCATTTTCCGTTTCATATTCAAATTGATTTTATACCGGTCGTTTGTCAAATAAACATACTACGAAAGAAAAAAAAAGTCTTCACGATTTTTTCATCTCAAGCTGAATGTGTTTAAGTATTCAACTATGATTTATGAAATATATTTCATTCATACACAAAATAAAAATTAAATGGAGTCTAGTCGAAGCATCGGTATAAATCTCAAATAATTCCAACGATATCAAGATTTTGTGTGATTATATCTTCACTTTTTCATTCTATCACATATTTTGGATATCATGCAAAAGACATAACTCATCTCTCGGATGAGAACTAGTACATGTATATGTCTAATACAAATAATCTCCTAGGTCACATATTTCGGTACACTGACACCTTACCTCGTATTTCAATAGTTGTTTTTGATGCCGACCTACCAATCAGAAAAATACGACCCAAATGAAAAGGATTAATTTATTACTGAATAAGTATATGTCAACAAAGCAAACGCTTCATATGATTGAAAACACGGGTTAAAGTTGTTGTTTACTTCTAAAAGGACATCTGGTACGTTGACTGTCCTAAAAGATAATTTGTGACGTAGTTGATCATGCCATTGCATTTGAAAGAAAAAAAGAAATAGCACAGTTTAATTTCAAAAGAAACCTTTTCATCTTCATCCATACAAATTCTGCGTCAATAAATTTCTGTTTATTTTGCATCTACGATTCAATAGTTGTTATGCTGCATATACGTATATAATTTCAACTTCAAAGTTAATTAATGCTGTTTTGACAACAGCAAATATGTGCACAGCAATGAATAGAAAGAATTATTATAAATAGAGAAGCATTCTTCAATCTTCGCAAGTACGAACTATTGGGTAACACAGGTAAGGTCAACATGTCAATTTGATTTTCATTTTCATGTTTTAATTCGTAATCTCTTACTAATGTTGTTTTGAATAAGCAGAATACCAATATCTTTTCCATAGTGAAACTTGGATATAACTTTATTTATATTCTAGAAATTATGATTGGAGCGTTGTCTATCACTACAACAACAATTCTTCTGCTTGTTGTTACCGGTACAATTCGATCGTGGGCACTACCGAAGAACGTGTGCAGATCTCCTGTTGGCTTACAATCGACAAGCAAACCAGCAACTGTCGTTGGAACTGGTACTGCTGCTTCGTGCAATCAAGCTGCATTGGTGGCCGCACTTTTGAAAGGTGGAATCATCACGTTCAACTGTGGAAACTCTGGAATACCTGTGACCATTCCTATCACCAGCGAATTGCAAGTTGCCAAAGGTGTTGATACTCTGATCGACGGAGGTGGTATTGTGACATTGGACGGGCAAGGAAAGACCAGAATATTTCGATTCGATCGCTTGTTTTATGGAAATGCAACACCAATATTTACCGTTCAACGACTTCGACTTATCAACGGATATTGTCAAGACAATGGCGGTGGATGTGCTATCTTACAAAAAAATGGCGGCACAACTAAAATTATCAATTGTGTCTTTGAGAACAACACAGGTGCTGTTACTGGTCAAGATACAGCCGGTGGTGCCGTCTAGACCCTCGGTGGTGGTGATACAACTGTGATTAGCAGTGTATTTCTCGGAAACAAATGCTCGAATGGAGGTGGATTAGGTATTCTCGGTAGCGGACTGATGATTTATAACAGCCATTTTGAAGACAATCAAGCGACAGGCAAGGACGGAAATCCTGGTCTGGGTGGAAACGGTGGTGCTATCAGTTTCGATGGCAGAGGTCGAAATAATACCATATGTGGAACAAGATTTACTAGAAACCAGGCAAACAAATTCGGTGGAACATTCTTTCGTGTGTCTTACAATGGTGATGAACAGAACAATTTCGATAATGTACTAATTGATAGTAACCTTGTTGTTCAAAGTGGTAATGGTGCAGCAGGTGCATTATACATTCAAGGTGGTACAGCAAGAATTCGTAATGCTACTATTTTTAACAATTCAGCGACAACAGCTGGCGCCCTGTTCTTCTCCAATGAAAAAGCTGTCGAATTAAGCAGTGTTAATTTAATAGGAAATCGAGCGAACACTCAAATTGGTGGTGCATTCTTCTGTTCCAAGCCAGTTACAGGTACCTTGTCTGGTCTAACAGTTGCCAACAATTATGCTGGTGTGCTTGGTGCAGCTTTTGCGGCTTGTACTGACACGTTGACATTGTCGAAATCCATTATTGCCAATAATACAGTTGGTAATGTTTACACCGCCAATGCTTGTAGTAATGCGATGAACGATGGCAAAGGCGTTATCCAAGCACCTATCAACAAGCCAAAGCCTGCAAATGGAGTGGATCCTCCTTGTACCAATGGCACAGGTACACCGATGAGAGTCGATAATATTACTGTCATTTTAGATACAACAGCATGGAAGATTAAAGTCGTTGGTGCTCAACCGGTGTATTTAGGTCCAACTGTTGTTCCAGGCTTATAAACTCAAACTACTACATTTTTTATTCCTCGCTACAAACTAAAATTAACCATTCCTCTTAACCCAGTGATATTCTTTCTCTTCATTTATTCGAATCTCATACTCAATAAAGTTCACTTTTTAGTTAGAAAGAGATACGCATCTTCTTCTCCGTGAGACTTCAATGTTTCTTAAAGATAGGAAAGACAGATAAGACGCAATTTTATTTCAATACTTTTAAGTTTTGTGTTCTTTAGAGGGGAGAAAGTCAGTAGATCTTTTACGTGGAGGTGAAAAAAAAACGCCAAATGCGATTATCGGAATTTATTAGAATTTCTTCCATTCACAACGGTCTTGCCTTCATATCTTTTTGCAGCAATGATCATAGAAGTGATAAACGTGTTTTGATGTTTTTTTTCGTCTAGAACAGATACGTTTGCCTCTTTACAGTTATATTCATGGATGTTGAGTGTGTTCCATCATGCACAATCTGTATTTTATTTCCTCTTATTTCGGAGGATTTTTTTCATGAAAAAGAAGAAAGAATAAAGTACGAAGTGCTCAATTCTTTACGAGACATATAAAGACTGCCTATTGGATCCTAGATGTTCTAGATCATGAACATAGGGAATCTATGATGATAAGAACGACGAAATTTATTTATCGTGAATGAACGTCAACCACAAGCAACATTATCACAAAAAGCGATGGATAGGAATATATACGATGTATACGTCAATGTTTTTCTTTTTGAAACAACCATTCTCACTTATTATCCGTGTAAATCTACAAACATCAGCAATTAGATGTGTGATTACTCTTGTGCTCATTAGCAAAATATACCTGATTCAAATCAATTAACAGCTGGTCCATCTTCCCAGAAAAGTGCTTAACCGAACAGCGACATTCTCCACGGTTTTGTAAATCTCGTTCGGCTTGAGTTTCTTTTTTTGTCAACTTTTTAAAGCTAAAACGATCACAAAGACATTTGCTTTTTGGACAACTTCAACAGAAAAAATGACCTATCGATCTCAGAAATGTTTTCAACGTAAATAAGAATATCGCATTCATCTTCTAGTGACGATTGATTCTGCCGTTCAAATGCATATAATTGTCGATCGCCATTGCACCATTGCTGAGCACGAAGATCACCGACAGTTGAAATCTAAATCATTTCACAACACACAATGAGATTAAGCTCAATTCCAAAACAAACGTTTTTATAATCGAGATCAGCTTGTGTCGGATTGAGGAAATATCTTCTGAGATGATGCACCTGATAAAAAGCATTCGAATCCCGGCTCGAATAGATCAGCACATAAGCAAGCGACAAACAGCACACATACAGCATTATTCCATGAATGACAGACCACATTTGCATCTGTCTCAATCGTTCATCACGCAAACGAACGATTTCACCTTCGTTCAAACAATGAACAGGAAAAGATGCTGGGCGAGTGAACAGAGATTTGTTCTACAATACATGAATTCCTATTAAATGTAAAAAGAACATTACAGAGACAAACCTGCAATGCATGCAGATATTCTTCATCAGCTTGTAGATCGATTTGATCGTCGTCATTTAACAACTCGTCTGCTTCTTTATCATTAAGAAGAGGGTCGGATAACACTTACCAAAGTGCTGTTCAATAGCATAAATTGCTGAATTCGACTGTTATTCTTATCAGCAACATAAATATTTCCATGCATATAATCAAAACTCATAGAGATAGGACTATTGAATGTGATGGATGTCGAATCTGGTGAGCCAGTACACCCAACTATACATCGAAAACCATTTGGGTCTGATCCGATGATCCGATGATTGCTCCAACCTACGATGAACGAATTACTATCGGCATCAAGGATGACTGCTGTTGGCTACGAGAGCGAAACTGTAACATTCGTAAATTCATTTCCTGCAGCGACGATAGCATTTACGCGATTCAATGTAAAGAGTTGAATACGATGGTTGAAACAATCTACGACGTATAAATCAAAATTGTAATTCACAAAACTACCCCACGGTCCATTCAACATAATCGCACTATTTCCTGGTAAACCAGTGCGCCACCAACAACTGTAAAGGCAGTTGAAACTATTTTTAACAATTTTTTCACCACTTGATTTCCACTAGGTATCGAGCATTACGTATTTTCATTTGCATCAATGAAAATATCAAAGCATTTTGCAACACGTGTACAAAATAATAGTACCATTTGTTAAATTCATAACCCATTCATAGATTCAGTCGGTTAAGGCACCATTGACCGTATCAATCTCATCTGCTGTAGTAGCAAAACACACTGGATAGAATGAATACATCTCCCGAAATATTCATTATTGATGCGTTATTTTCTTCGTTCCAAATTAGAATTTCATTGTCTCACAAGGAGGCTATATAAATTGTATCGTTTGGGTAGGGTCCTACAGTTTGGGCTGTAGAGAAAGTTGTAGCATGTTGATGCCAGATTGGGTTAGGATAGAACTTTGGCCGATTATAAGACAATGCTAATCGAAGAAAGTAAATATATTCCGAACATCGCTGAAGTATCTGAATGGAATCTTTAAAAGTGACTGTTGGTTTTCTCTTAAGCTACTCTACCCCGATGGCTCGCTAATCAGAATAAACTTGGTCCAGTACTTACCCAATCCATGTCCGCTGGCAATAAAACAAAATACATATTCTTAACGAAACGATATCGATCATTGTAAATACAATGGCATTATTTCCGTACAATTTAGTTACTTCCGAACAATCAAAACGACTTCAACATATCTAGCCAATTCTTTCTGTTTATATTTTTCGGTTTGTTTATCCTATAGTCTTTCGCACACTGTAATCTCGATCGATCGTTTGCTCATTTTGAATTCCATTGAATGTTAATTAAAGTTTCTTCTTTTAGGGAATTTTCATACCAACATTAAGATCACCTTTTTTATCTAACGATCAGATTATATAATTGATTGTCAAAAGTATCAACGAGTTTTCATTCGAAATTGAGAAAAATAGTCGTGGGAATCAGATGCTACTTGATATGATCAACTATACTACACAAAAACAACTCATTCGTTTACTATGATCGAACGGTGATGTTAATTATCAGTACAATCATATTTGCATGTTAGTATGAGCGATGTGTTTGTTTTTCTTCGTTTCATTCGTCAGTACTACTACGATTCTTGTATTCTTAATATATCCTCAGCTAGCCGACCATGTTAATTTAATTTTAGACGTTGAAAATTGTAATACTCGTTCACATCGCCTGTTTATAGGGTGTGAATGCGGAGAAGTGCCAATTCTAAACTGCAGTTACCAGCAATAGGATTGAGAAACGGACTGTTGGATGGAATTTTATCGGGTCATCTTTGTACGACATAGTAGTGTCAAACTTCCTAAAACACTTCTGAACATCTAACAGAGAATCAGTGCATAATTTTGGTCACTGAAGGGTGTAAAATGTGTGTTACAATTAGTTTGCAGACAGTGCTAACGATATAAGATCTGACTTTTACCTCGTTGCTCAGACCTAAAATAAAATTATTTTATACTTTAGTTTTAACACAAAATTGGAGTATTATTCCTGATTTCATGTCGATTTCTTTCACTTCTTGGAGCACAAACCAAAGTCAGATTCTTATCTAACTTTTTTCGTGCCTTGGAAGTTTTGTTCTATTCTGCAATGTTATCTTACATGTGTATACGCAGCTTTTCTATTAGCACTTGTAGAAAGGAAGTAAAACAATATTTTCTACCAACTTTGACAAATGACTCTATTTGCTGTTGTTTCATAACCCATTTGGAACAACTTGACTTGACTTCGTATATAAACCATTGAATTTCGACGGTATATATCATTTCATTTTGCCTTAAACACGTACATCACAAGGACGCAGTAGTCATTGAATTATAAGCAAAGTATGCATAGTGCTCAGTTCTAAAGCAAGTTTCTAGAGTGTTCTTATTGAGATAGACTCTGTTCTAGTACGCGCCCATTTCCAACTTCAACTTACTCAATCTTTTCTTAAATTCACCCTCTGCGATGGATCAATATGCAGGTAAGGGCGTCTCGTCCACTGTGGTTGGCAATGGAACTTACGGTCAAACTATTGGTCAAGTTGACTCGTTTGGAAATGTAACTTCAACACAAATCGGAAACGGAACTTATGGTCAAACCATTGGCAGAGTTAATCCATTTTAAACATTCTACACATCTATCTGCAAAAAGAAAACTGTCATTAGAATTTTCAGTTTCTTGTAATTTTATTCCCGAATGCTATCATTTCTTTCTCAAGTTGTGTATCTTTGTGATTTGAAAAAAAAATTGAATTATAAATGCACCTATAAATCTTTTCTTAAAAAAAAAAGGATATTCTATTAATGATTATATCATAAGCGAACAGCGGCTTGTTTGCACCATGCTGACGAAAATACGAAAGAATCATAACATTCACACCTTGAACGTGTTCTTCTTGGTGATTCTCCTGACCAATCCGAGAAATTTGCATTGTTTCTTTGTTACGTTCATATGAGCTTGCATATATATATATATTGATTATCACCACGTGACTCTCTTCTTGTCGGAGACGAAGAAGAAGACATCCTCGAAATGGATTACGATTCGGCAGCTGGAAAGGGAGTTCTCTCCGACGGACCTTACATGCCGCTCTCGAAACCGTTACCATTTACTGATCATCCTCAAATTCAACGAACTCGTCAAATTCATTTCATTTTAAATGGAATTCTTCTCGTAAGTTATAAGCATACATCACATATCGAATCATCTTTTTCTGATTCAGATACTCTCAGTGATCGATCTTGTACTCGGCCTCACCGGAGTTAAATTCTTGAACGATCAAGGAATGCATGTTATGGCTTATCACATCAGTCAAGCTATAGTTTGGATTCTTTTGAGTATCTTTGGACTTCTTGTCACCTACAAATACAATCGAACTGGTCTACTCATGGTATATCATTTTCATACGTTATAAAAACAAATTGAACAGAATCTATTCTTGTAGTTTGCATGGGTAAATGTCGTTCTACTCGTCATTCTTGGTGTTCTCATCATTATCATCTTGAGTATCATTGGTTGGTTATCGTTTTCAAAAAGATTTCGTCAACATTATGAGCCACCATTATTTGTTGTTATATTATCAATTGTCGGTATCGTATTTATTGCTATTCGGGTAAGAGTTTTGCTTTTTACAATGTGAAATATTGAGTATTTTCATTTCATAGATATACGTAATTAAAGTTGCTATGAAATTGGCACGCCTTATTAAGATGAATAAAAATTTGATCAACGAGACAATTCAATAGATCGTTTGTTAGCTATAGTCCACATAGAAATTGTTGATTTTCGTGATTGAAAGAAATAAATATTGAGAGGAATCTTTAGAAATATACAATGATCGAATCGGTTCTCAGAAAATATTCAGACTTTGATCCACTTGATTTTCATATCTGATATTTCAGTTCTGTATGGTAAAATGACGACACTCAATTCGTTTATCTTTCAAGGTAAAACTATATGCGCATGAAGTTGATGCAAGAGAAAAATTAGATAATATCCGAAAAGATTTTTCAGTCTTCATACATCCAGTCATTCAATAGCAAAACGTAAATTATTATTTGCCATCGAGAACTTGAGGATTAACAACATGGATAGGAGTTCCTTGTGCATAGGCGAGAATTTGTTCAAAGATATCAGTAAATTGAATTTCATATTCGTCAGTGGAGACATAACCGATATGAGGCGTACAGATAACATTATCCATGTTGAGAAGAGGATTGTTCGTGTCGGTCAATGGTTCGTTTTCATAAACATCAACAGCTGCCATACCAGGTCGGCCGGTACGTAATGCATCGACTAAAGCATTCGGTTGAATAAGTCCTGCTCGGCTAGTATTCACTATTAGAGCAGTTGATTTCATCAGAGCAAGATCTTTGCTACTGACTATACCACGTGTTGCGTCGACCAAACGCATATGAAGAGATAAAACATCACATGTCATAAAAAATTCTTCTTTACTACTCGCTGTTGTATATCCATCAGAACGAGCACGAGCAAGAGATGCATCGCGTGCCCATACAAGTATGTTCATACCAAACGCTTTCCCATATCCTGCAACTGTACTTCCGATTCTACCGTAGCCATAGATACCTAGCGTTTTTCCACGTAGTGTAGCGCCGATGCCAATTTGCCATTTGCCTTGTTTAAGTGCGGCCATTTGTTGAGGAATTTGTCGCATCGCTGCTAGTATTAGTGCCCAAGTTAGTTCGGCGGCAGCATATGAAGGACTGTCAGTGTGCTGATTGGATGAAACGATAATACCCAGCCGATTGCAAGCATCAATATCGATATGTGGATAAACACTGCGTTGGCTGATGAGTTTCAAACGAGGTAGTCGCTCGAGCAGATCATTGGTAATTCTTGTTCGTTCACGAATGAGCACCAGCACTTCGGTATCTTTCAATCGATCCACGAGTGCATCTGTATCTTGTACATGATCATTCCATATAGTTACATTATAATCTTTCAACATATTGTAGCAGGAAAGTGTACGAATGGTATCAAAATAGTCGTCAAGTATCGCAATATTCATCTTTTGTAGTTAAGCAGACAAATAATGAAACTCTCCCAGCAGAGAGTTTTTGTTACGCTTATTTTATTACTCTAGATTCTGAAGTGTCTCTTCTAAAAAAAAAGAAAAAAAAACCGACATATCGTATACACAGTTATCTTCTTATATCTTGAGTATGGGCGAGAGTGAGCAACATATTCAAGCCTTCACTTTCAAGATGGTGTTGTGTGAGAAATTCTCTGCAGCTCCAGAACTTTCTTTATATATTTTTCTCCAGATGATGTATATCTCCATGTTTGTACTGTAATCTTCTTCAGTTGTTGACATACGGGAAGAAGACTTTTCCACTCACTCCAATCTTGCAGTATGAACAAATTAGGCTGATCTGCCATGCAACGAACGTATCGAACTCTTGTTAAATTTTTAATAAAAGCAAGTATTATTTGTAGAGAATTTGAGTAATGATCTGTATAATATTGGTACGTAAGCGACAAAGAAGGGCAACCAATTTCAAGTAGGAAATAATCGATATTCTCGTTTTGGACTGTGACTTGACTTGGCTGGCTCAAAATTTTATCAATATATATCGCTTTACTGCAGTGAACTTCGAATCGTCTGATTGATCTAGGAAGTTGAGTTAAATAATGTTTTAGCTCATTGAAATCAGCGTCGCCTCTGTAGCGAAGACAAAAACGTGTTAATTGTGGAAAAAATCTCGTGTATTGACCGATCTCACTACTATTGAATGAACCGAGAAGAGTCAGTGAGACGACATTGGTGTATATCGTTACGGAACTTAAAGATACTTGTGGATTTGTTGAAAACACATTCCATTGTAAAGAAACAATTTGTTTTGGATCAAGTTTTCGCGCAATGCTATTCATGAATGCTGGAGAAGCCATAGACAAGTGCGCCGGTAGCTTGTACTTACACAACAGAGAAAGAGCATCTTCAGAAAATGCGTTCATTATATCGTATAGGGAGAGATATCGAAATATTTCCAAAAAGACATCCGTGCAAAGTTTAGTGGAAGTAAAAATATTGGATGACTAGAATGAAATACAAACATGAGATATGAATACGGAAGAAAAAGAATATACTTACAAGACGTTTTTCACGTTCATCACATTCTTCTTTGAAGACGATGAGTTCTTGTAATAACGTTTCTCGAGATAACTGACATGAGATGCGCGTTAACGTGTCGGATGTCGACAGAGTTTTAAATTCGTATTCAGATAGTGACGACCATCGGTGTAACCTAGGACTTTCTCGCATAATGCCAATCAACATCGGAAATTTATCGGCAAAATATCCATCCAGGGGTGTTGAAGAAAACAATTTTAACCAGATTTGTGAAAATCTAGTTAGCGAAAATGTACGTAATCAATGAGAATTATTGTTGATTTACTTGTTCCTATTCGATTCGTTTGTAATATCCCAGCACCAAACGATATAGTTGTGAGCTAGATAGTCGATGATGATCCCTGAACAGAATATATTTGAACAAAACACATTGCTGAATATACTATTCTCGTTGTGTAAATAGACAAGAATTGGAAGACGCTGAAACAAGAAACGCGATTGCTATTGATATTTTCAGAGCCACAAACCTCTGTAACTGTTTTCGAACTGAACGCTGCTTGGCAAGCGTTCCAAAGAGAACCAAAAAACAATGCAGGACAAGCCTCATATCGTCGCATAAAACACGCAGCAATGGATTCGATGCCTTGAGTTTCATCTTGACAGTCATCAGGCACTACAAGTAGTGGATAAATGATTAAGTCCGAGTGTTCATATTGCAATTTATACTAAATATAGCTTACATGGAGGTTGATTGGTAACTCTATTGAAAGTAACACCATCATCATCATCATCATCATCATCATCATCATTATCGTAATAATTTTCATCACTTTGATCCGTGTCGTTATCCTAAATGAAATGGATTCTATCGAGTGACAAAATCTTGGAGTAATATCTACCATTCTGACTAAGTGTCGATTATGAAAAAATGTGAAAAAGAAAAGTGCTTGCTTCAGGGTAAAAATTTGCGACAGAAGTGTTGGGTTTTTCCAACATATGAATACGTCAGCCAATGAGAAAAAAATCATTTTTTTGTTTTTGGAGTAAGCTCACGTTTTACATCAATAATAGGAAAAGAATCAAAAGAAAAGCATAATAAACAAAAACAAGAACGATAAAATGCATGCATTTTCTCTTTCTTTCCTGTCGACCAGAGCAGTGTTGGAGATGCACGCATTTAGATTCAGGCACAGTTAAAATTTACAAAAAACATATACGAAGAGAGTGGGAAGTAGAATGTCACACTTTCTTTTAAACCGGTGCTTTTCACACAGTATTGAACAGATCAATAGATTGCATATGTCCTTAATTATGGTATGACCGACGCCTTCACTTGAGAAACAAATAGAGAATAGCGTGCAAACACGTCTTTGTTTATGTGCCTTATGGTACATGAACGATGATTGAAAATACAGAATGACAATCCCACATGGTTAATCAATTGATTTTCAATAGAAAGAAATGAAGTCTCTAAATCATTCAAGATAAGTTCATAAAATCCAATAGGGCATTGACTTGGCTCATGCCATGCAGTTCTTTATGTTCATTTCTCATTTATCTCGAAAGAATATTCCAAATGTAAATTCAACAAAGTGCATAGATTTATATGTATGCAAAACTTTGAAGCAGTTGTCTCACAGTACGGAATAAGAGAATAATGCGCAGAATCAATAGGAGACGAATATCATTGAATCACGTGTTTTTCGTCTTTTTTCATCATTCTATGCGCTTAAAGCTTAGAGAATACAAAAAAGAAATATTCGTCTGCTTTTAGATATATCGATCAATTTCTTTTCTCCTTCCAGCGTTCGTAGTACTCAAATAGAAATACAAGGCTTCTCTCGTTGGTTTTCATTCGACAATATGACTACTCCTCAATATTATCGTACACTTGCTTGGCTCGAATCGTTTCTGGTTGATATCGATGCAGTAGTTATAGGTGTATGTGAATTTGAATCTGTCCAACGCTTTGATAAGGAACGTCTCGAATCAGCATTACAACAGTGTATTAATCATCATCCTAACCTACGATTAAACATCGCTACGTTCACGAAACCGTACTACTTTTTCCAGACCAAACAATCGTGTTCGACACCTACATACATTGAATTGGAATCCAAAGATGAATGGCAGCGAATTGTTGATGATGAATTGAATACTCCGTTCGAATTTAATAATGAAGCAAAAGGTTTACTTAAGTTGTTTGTTCTCTATGATAAGGATCCAACGAGTCGTCGGCAATATCTTCTCCTAAAATATCACCATTCCATTGCTGATGGCACCTCAGGAATGATTCTGTTAAACACGCTGCTCTCTTGCTATTTCAATCGTGATCAAAAACTATCAACACTTTCATCGTTATCCGATAGTGAAACACTGGCATTTCCACAGGTGACAAATGAAGATGAAAAGAAGACTGAAGATATGATTCAGACTATCCTCGCTTACAAACGTCAGTGGAAACCCATGATTCCTTACGAACCGGCGACGGGTCGAAATTTAACCATCTATCATCATGGCACTCCGGAGAACATGGCTCAGTTACTGAATAGATGTCGTCAGGAAAAAGTTACTATCGGAAGTGTACTATTGACATCCATCTATTTTGCGATTGCAGAATTGGTGAAAGACACATGGTGAGTATGTTTTGAACCATTTTTAAAAATAATTCAGATCTTCAACGTAGGCTTCACGATGCGTCATCATATTTTTCTAATTTCAAATTTGATCTCGATGTCAATTTACGTCATCGTTATCCGTCTCCGCTCGATCGTCATGAGCATATCGGCCTTCATATTGGAATGATGACGCTGAACGAGATTGTCATCTCGCGCGAAACAAAATTTTGGTCACTTTGTCGAGTCATTTTTAATGACTTGCAAAGGAATCTGTCCGAAGGAAGACATCTGACCTATCTCCGTGCAAATCGTTTGACATCAACTGACGAGCAGATAGATGAACAAACTAAACGAAATGACGGTCGTATCAATGACCTCAACTTCTCCAACATCGGACCATATGTTTTTCAACGCGAGTATGAAGATCTTAAGCTGAAGCATTATTATTGTGTTGGCTCGAATCCTTGTCCGTCTGTGGGTACTAACGTTATCTTGGTCTGTTCCGTTGAAAGTCTGGATTACGTTTTACTGCATGAGGCTGGTGAAAAGAATCGCCTCATTGCAAAAAGCTGGTTCGATCGAATGGTAGGATTGACGGATAGAGTATGGCGACAGACTGAAAGCTGGACATTCGATCATTTTTTGAAAGAATCTACGTAATAAGAAACTTATTTTGAATTGTTCGATACTTTGTTTAGTAGCTGGAAGGAAAATGCTTTTTAGAATAGATTTCACTGATCTGCTCGAATAATAAAACCCACTGAAAGCTATTAGCCGATCACGTCATTTCTTCCAAGACACGATTCGTACTGTGGAGAATTTTTTTTAAATTTACATCTTTTCTTCTCAGTACTGCAAAGGGAGAAGAAAAGAACTTTCGATTTTTGTTGATGCTGATCACAATTCACCAACTTTCACTTCAACAGCCATTTTCACCTATTAGTTGTTTCTATTTTTGAAATATTCCTCGATCAGTAATGTATTCAAAATCATCTTTTGCCAAAAATTTAACCACGATAGATGAAGCTCATCGTGCAGTAAATCACATACGCACGCGCGAAAAGGCTCATCAGCTGCAATTGAGACCACTCAGGATGTTTCTTGACAAAATATCCACGTTACTCAGTCTGTAGCTCATGACAATCAGCGAAATCCTGTTAAGTGACAACTTTTTTGTCTATATTCGAATGGATGAACGTATCTAGGCCAGCTGCCTACTTTCCATCAATGAGAGCTGTACATCCCTCGACACCGTCTCACTTAATGACACGACATAGTGACGATGCCTTCTGGCTTCACCCAAATGGACGGAGCTGCGATGACAACACGCCAGCTTTTGAGTTGCTGCCTGAAAACTTCCGTATATAAACCGCAAGCACCTATACATTCATTTGATGTTCTATATTCTTGCCGTGCAATAATATATCACTTTGTACAACAATTTAAAATAAAGACCGACGAAAAAAAAGTTGGGTACTAAAGACCAAGCCTGTATAAGTTTATGTTTGATCTATTTTGTAATACATCTGGACGGATTGAAAGCGATAACGACAATCGAATGGTGAGAAAAGAAAAACGATATTACGTATGTCTCATAGGCCTTGCACGCACATATCTATTGATAAAATCAGAACAGAATGGTAGGAAAGAAGAAAAAAAGATAAACGAATACAATCGACATTATTTTTATTGTGAAAAAGGAAAAATAAATCATTCTTTCTCTCGTCAATTTTTAAAGATGGACCAAACAAAAGCAACTCATCGGGCTCTGCTAAATCTTGAAGATTATCATCAACGTGCAAAACAAAAACTATCACAAATGGCGTACGACTATTATTATACTGGTTCTGATGATCAGCTCACGTTAACTGATAATCAAGAAGCATTTCGTCGTATCAAACTACGTCCGAAAGTACTGATCGATGTTTCAAAACATGCAACGACAGATTCGATAAGTTGTAGAACACAAATTTTGAATTCAACAGCAACACTTCCATTTCCATGCATCATCGCTCCAACTGCTTTACATCGTTTAGCACATCAAGAACATGGAGAATTGGCGACTGTTCGAGCCGCTGTTGCTTGTTCGACCATCATGTGTGTGAGCACTATTTCCTCAACGCGAATGGAACTTATTGCTGATGAACATCGACGTCATATCAGAGAACGTTATCCTCAAAGTTCCTCGCAACTTTGGTATCAACTCTATGTATTTCAAGACCGAGAAATTACACAAAAGTTAATTAAACGAGCAGAAACATCTGGTTACAAAGCATTAGTTCTTACTGTCGATACCTGTATAATAGGTAATCGAGAGTCCAGTGTGCATAACAAATTTTCTTTGCCTAATGGTGTACGAGTAGAAAATCTAGTTGACGAACGAGTCGAATTAGCCGAAAAATATCAAGAATTACCACGCGATGCTTCTCTCTCATGGAAAGATTTGGACTGGATACGATCGATTACTTCCTTACCGATCATTCTCAAAGGTATTCTTCATCCAGATGATGCCTGTCAAGCTGTGAAATTTGGTATCAAAGCGATTATCGTGTCGAATCATGGCGGACGACAACTTGATACGAGTGTTAATACAGTCGATGCTCTATCGGATATTATCAATGCTATTGGTGATCAGTCTCCTATCGAAGTGTATGTCGATGGTGGTATTCGACGAGGAACAGATATTTTGAAGGCAATTGCATTAGGAGCAAAAGCTGTGTTGATTGGACGACCGATTCTTTGGGGTTTGGCAGCCGATGGAGAACAAGGCGTGAGAAATGTGTTGAATATATTGAAAAAAGAATTTCGTTCCGCAATGATGTTATGCGGTTGTCAAACAGTTGATGATATTAGAAAAAACAATCTATTGATGTTGAATGATAGACCTATTCGATCGAAATTATAAATAAAAACAGAAAATAAAGAACATCTATTTGATAGCGAAGTCTCATTCAATCGGATCCGATAGGATGAATTCGATCTGTACGATTTCTTTTTAATTGAGAGGCTCTTGACTTTTTCTTGTTATCATTTTAACAGATGACCAAAGAAACTGCAACCGTAGGACCGCGGTACTAAATATTGAAGATTGCTACTGTATTGGGAAAATAATCTATTGGCAATAAATAACTTTCGATTCAATTATAAACTACTATTAAAAAAAAGAACATCTGTTCATTCATTTTGATGAAAAGTAACAAGTAATTTTGTATTGTCTTCAATTGCTTGGCAAACTGCATCACCCATCGGGATGACATGCGATATAAATCGAGTAAATAGCAATAAAAACGGTGATTGATGTAAATCACATCGTCGAATGATAATATCCATTTTAACTAAACTAACATTTGAATTGACTACGAGATCAACGATTGTCGTTGTTCTTGGAATCGTCCATTGATTTCGAACATGAAATTCAGTCGAAAATGAAGCGGAAATAGAGATATGATACGATGGGAGATGTTGAATAATGATCGTATGATTCGGTTCGATTCGAATACTTTCGACCGCAATTGAACGATTGAATGTGTCGTCGAATACGCAATTCATTCGATTCAAGCAACGTCTATTCTGTAGGCGATGGCCACTCTTGATAGAAAACTCATCGAGAATGGGTGAAAGACGGGCTCCTGCAAATAGTCGAGCTGTGATCGATGATGATCTTGATAGGAGTGATGCATTCATTGCAATCCTTGAGAAATTCTCGACTACGTAAGTTGTATTGGATATATGTTGCGCATAGAAAGCATTTGGATGTTTGTCGGTAAACGGTTGTCGAACAAAGGCAACTATGCAAATGAGAAGAAAGAAAATTGAAAATGAATTGAATGTACGTCCAAAGCATTTAATTCTCTGAAGTATTGGAATGAAGATCAAGACAGATAACACCGTAGGAATGGTGATGATGCAGGAAATGAGACGATTTTCATAGAAAGACCATTGCTCGGCATATCTTCGCATAGATATTGGAATAAGGATTCGAAGTAAACGATCGACTATTTCTAGGCTATGTGCCAGTGGAAATAGTGAAACCAGCAGTGGCAAGTATAACCAATAATATTTTCGATGAAGAATTTTCCAAGGAATTTCTCTCCAATGGCAAACAAACTCCACGATGATTACACAGAGGTAAATCGGAAAGATAAATACCGTCCAGATGAGAATCATATAGAGTAAGGGATTTTTCCATATGACCGAAACGATCATCAAACCAACGAAACTGATCATCATTGAAAGATTTTGTTCGAAATCGAAAGATTCGGTTGTGACTGCTTGTTGTCGAAACCGCCGGCGAACAACATGGTGCAGCCGAGCGAATAAATATCCAATTATTAACATACCAACCAAACACGGTAAACCAAAAAGAAGAGTGGCGATCAATGGACTACCAAACCATGAAAATGGTTTGGTTATTGACATGATAAATGCAACGGCGATGGAACAGAGGAAAGCATTGGCAAGTGAAAGTAGATTCGATACTGAATAGATTAAAATCGAAAGGAATCGTATGGTTAGCGGATGTTTGTATTGAACATAGATACAGGAACAATTGCAACATGGGGAAACTTTTTTTTTATGATAAACATGGTCGATGGTAATTAAACCGAGTCCAATCATAATGAGCAACAAACTAAGAGTCCGTTGAATGAACAGCGATGTTGACCGTTTGTAAATCATCAAGTATCGACCGAGAATGTCAAAATAAATCAGAGAATCATTATCCGTAATATTCGAGTACTGAAGAAATGTATTGCGTATTAAAACGAGAAGATTGTCACCTAATTCTTGAAGCACACCAGGCTTTATAGTCGCTAAATTATCGAATGGTGTATGATATGTATATCCATCGAAGAAGAATCCAAAATTATAGCCTAGTACTTGATTATATAATGAATACATATCGTAATCGGTTCGAATACCAAGCCAAAGGCAAATATTCTGTAGAATGAAATTCGCACGAGGTTTTGGCACATAGCTGTATTCGATCGCCAGCTAAATAGAAAAAGAAATTCGATTGTTATGTTTTCATATCGTACAACAACAACAACAACCTGTGACGATCGGATTTGTATAAGATTTGCTACTTGATTACAACGAACGGAATCTACGTTTATGAAACGATGAATGTTACGAAACCATGAATGTAAAGATCGAAATGCTTCAGAACCATGCAAACCAATTTCTTCAGCGTCAGTGAATATAAGAATAAGATTAAGATTCGAGAGCGTCATTGTCACATCATTCACTAAATTTGATAGTAATTCAAGAAGAATCACCACACCGGATCCATCGTCACTGCTTCCAGGACTGAATTCAACTATAAAAACGAAAGGTCTATTGGATGTAGTTTCGTTCAGATTCTATTTACCGGAATCGTAATGAGCACTGAGTAATACGTTCCAAAGTTTTTCCGATTCCATCGATGCGTTCGAAACACGAACGAGAATATTTTCTAATCGATTCGAATCCAAATCGATCGTATCCTGTCGGACGAGTTCAAAGCGAAGTTGTCGATTGCTCCTCGAGAAAATCGTTTCGATTTGCGAAATCAGATATTCTCGTGCAGCATAATTACCCTGCGTATTTATCACTCGCGAACCAAATCGTGTTAAATTAGCAAGATAATCTCGAGCTCGTTCTTCACTGAACATATGAGCCGGAATGTCTCTTGTTTTCATGGTTGGTACCGAATATGATATATGCGATGTTAATGGTCCAGCAATCAATAATAAACAAACAAACGAAAGAATCCATAATAGAAATTGATTTGAAGAGTATTTGGAATGGAATATCCTAAGCACAAGAAAACCGTTTCTATTTTGGTCGAAAAAAGTTTATCTTACCGGTTGATTACACGAATATTTGCTTGAGGACTTTGAATATCATCGTGAGGTACTAGGGCAATCTCTTCTACCATACCTTTATCGAATAATTAGATGTTTTCTATATACAGCCTTATATATATATATATATATAGATAACATTGAATAAAGTAGTCAATATGATTTATGAGACCATCTGTCTTTTTTCGTATAGATAAAGTGTAATAAAATACTGTTCAGAAACTTGTTTTGTTTTACTCGCGTCTGTCGAGATAGCTATTTTAAAGAATAACTCGAACTCTCTGCATGCTATCACATGTCGACGATTTGTTTCTCCCTCTTCGCTGATGAGAAGAAGCAAGGAACTATAGAATGTCAAGCACAAAAAAAGGCGTCTAATGAGAACGAAAGAGAAAAAAAGAATATTTTTTTTTCTCTTATTCTTACAAATACATTGCTCTTCGGGAATGAAAACGGAGCACCTCGCCTTGAGTTCTATTGACAGTCAAAATAGAGTTAAATTGCAAATAAATAAATATTAATGAAATTTTGTTATTTTTTCTCTCGGAACAAAATTACAAAAGAAAATCGTCTTCACGACGGAGTTCTATTTTGCCATGGATTTATCACCGATACTTCGTCTCGCGGCTTCATCGCCCGGCCGTGGGAATAATTTGGATATATTTCCATTCATGCGATAATAATGTTGTTTTGACTTGCCATATTGACGACTTGAGTATTGATACTTTTTATGATCAAGAACTTTTCTTCGTCGATAACTCGATGCTTGTAACCATTCGGCAATACAGAAAATCAATGAGTTCGCGTAAAGTTGATGTATCCAATTATATGGAATACTTTGATAACCATAATGAGCACCAGCTAATTGACCATAGATAGCTGCTGTTGTATCGGTATCATCGCCAAGATGGATGGCATTCATGACACCATCTTCATAAGATTTTCCTTTCCAAAACGCCCACAGCGCTGCTTCAAGTGATGGAACGACATGTCCGGCACCTCGAATGCCATCGTTGTAACCACCTTGTCGTTTGAAGGATCCAGCAGCGACGTGGAGAATGTCCTGATGAAGAGCTTTTCGACCAAACCAGCTTCGGTGTGATTCATAGAATCGTTCACTAAGAAGATTTTCTTTTGATTCGCCTGCAATGGCCGCTACAATTAGAGCGCCGAGATATCGACAAGCATCGATTGCAACTTCATCACCATGTGTTAAACGAGAACTGTGGCCGGATAATTCAACAGCAATGTGAGGAACACGATAGAAAAACAGAGGTACTGGAGCAAGACGCATCAAAGCTCCATTACCACACGCGCCTGGTCCACTACAGAACACATTGAACTGCAGTTTATCTACAGTTTTCTGCGGAACTTGATCAACATCATAATCATCTTTTATATGAAGCTTCCTTTTCAGATATACCTGCCGTCGAGTGAATTCCTCTAACGATTTGCGCGTTCCATTACCAATATCAAAGCATACGCCAGTAGACGATAGGTAACCATATCTATACCACCATTTAAATCGAACCATTTGATCGTAAGGACTAAATGTTCCTTTATTGATCAACGATGTCGCAAGGCACAAAGCCATCGATGTATCGTCAGTCCATTGGCCTGCTTTCAAATTCCATGTTCCACCCGATGTCATATCGTGAACTGGATGTGCAAGCAGATATTTCCGCGGACGAAACTCAACACTTGCACCAAGAGCATCACCAACAGCTAAACCTACTAATGAACCAGCAATACGACTGAAAAGAATTGAATTATGCAACTTCGTTGGAGGCCGATGAATTGGAACTTCGTGTGGAAGTTTTTTTTCATGAGGTAATGGAAATTTCATCTCAATCAAAAATCAATCTACAACAAACTACAAATTGCTTACGTTATTCGCCATTAACTACTATATGATTAAAAATGACTATGTAGCTCATAGTTTAGTCACACGAATGGATGCTATTTTTCTGTTTTCTTCTTTATCAGCATTAATCGAATGTTTCTATCAGTCGCCATCGTCGAAAAACAAAAAACAAGATTCGTAACAAACATCCGATCTAAATGTGTCATTATCAAATGAAAATCTAATGATAAATTTGTCAAAAACAAACAGCGTTCAAGCCAAGACAAATAACTACTGAATCGAAAATTCATCATCGAATACTGTCGATCATCATTCATGTTCATACGATACAATGACCTTCTTATCGCGTGTATAATTTTTTTTTCTTTTCCAATCACATCAGTAATTAGTAACGGTTTTAAACATACAATCAAAAGAAAGGTGTATATTAAATTTCAATCATGAAAACACTGGCGTGCTATGTGAGAAAAACAGAATACGAGTTCATATAGATTAGAGTCTTGGTGCTAATTGTAAGCATACAATAGGAATGTGAATTTCAAGAGAAGATAAGATCTTTTCTTGTTCTGTCTGTGTCGAAACACACGTTTTTTTTTTCTTCTTCTTTCCTCTCGACAAAAGGCAACATATGAATATGCTGATTGTATGCCTCTCGAGAGAATACAACAAAGATAAGCCTCATCACATTTGTTTTTTTCTTTCGTACGAACGATACTCGATTGTTTGGTTGACCGAGATTGCTCAAACATGTCATCACCCGATAGTACAACACAAGAAAGCAAAGAATTACGAGATTTATATCCCGAAATTGAACCATATAAAACCGGCATGTTAAAAGTATCGGAAATTCATAGTTTGTACTACGAAGAAGTCGGCAATCCCGACGGTAAACCGATTATTTTCGTCCATGGAGGCCCCGGTGGAGGTACAGACCCACGTGATCGACGATTTTTCGATCCAAAAGCATATCGAATTTTAATATATCATCAACGTGGCGCCGGTAACTCTTTACCAAACGCTTGCTTAGAAGAAAATACCACATGGGACTTGGTGGAAGATTTAGAAAAGCTACGTCAACATTTTAATGTGGACAAATGGGTTTTATTTGGTGGTAGTTGGGGATCGACATTATCTCTCGCTTATGCTGAAACACATCCCGAACGTGTCAAAGCTTTAGTATTACGTGGAATCTTTTGCTGTCGACGAAAAGAACTGTTATGGTTTTATCAAGAAGGCGCTTCGTTTATGTTTCCCGATGCTTGGGATAAATACTTAGAAGTTATTCCTGTCGGCGAACGGGGTGATCTCATGTCGGCATATTATCGTCGGTTAACCGGTAACAATGAAGAAGAAAAATTAAAAGCAGCAACGGCATGGTCCGTATGGGAAATGGCAACATCACGTTTGTATGTCGATCCGTCTTATATAGCTCGTGCAGCCGATGATGCGAAGTTTGCAGTAACCTTTGCTCGAATTGAAACACATTACTTCGTTCATGGTGCTTTCATGGAAGAAGACGAGCAATTAATTAAAAACGCTGACAAACTCAATAATATACCTGGTGTAATTGTTCAAGGTCGATATGATGTTGTGTGTCCACCACGATCAGCTTGGGATTTACATAAAGTTTGGACAAAAGCAGAACTCCATTGGGTTGCTGATGCGGGACATTCATCGAAAGAGCCTGGAATCGTTCATCAATTGGTTACGGCAACTGACAAATTCCGAGATTTATAATGCTAAAAAACATCTGATTTTTTGAAGAAGTGATTGATTATCCATGAACTTTTTTTTTTCGATAATTTCTTATAGACAAAATACTTTATATAATGAAGTTATTTCGATTTATCATGATCTATAAAATTGACCTTCGATTGCAATGAAAGAAAAGGTATTTTCATAATCGCATGATGTTCTATAATATCATTAAATAACATCTCCATCGATTCTTCTAAAGGTTGACTCATATATATATAGATTACATTCACATTAGAGAAATATATCTCGTCATTTTCGGTTGATTTCAGTTCATAGTGACCGCGATCGAGGAACGAATGAGAGTAACACATACGTAGTTATTCAAGTGGAAAAATTTTTTAAAGAGGGACGTCACTCCATTCGTTGATATATGCAAATTGACATTTATTCTCTCAAACGGACTATTGCAATCGTCTGAAAAGAGTTGACTTCTATTTGAACTTTTCTTTTCATTTGATTTCATTTCTTCTAGTGTAAACAGAGTTATACGCCATGCCAATAAATCCAAATTTTGACTTAGAAACATCCGACAATCCAAATGTGATTTCCATGGATGAACAGACGATATCGAAAAAACAACGACCATTCGATTTTCGAACATTGAAAAATGTTCTTGCCATTAGTCTTGCATTTCTACTTCAATTTACCGCATTTAATGGCATGGGGAATCTTCAGAGCTCATTGAATACCGAAGCTAATGTTGGTGTTAATTCCTTATCGATTATTTATGTTTTTCTCATCTTTTCGTCTATCTTTCTACCCCATCCTCTCATGGCTGTCTTAGGTCTCAAATGGACTTTAATTATCTCTCAAGTACCGTATGTGTTCGATTCAAAGAAGAAGAAAAAAAAAAGAAAGTCTCTCGTTTCTCTTTAGTTATCTTCTTTTCATGGCTGCGAATTATTATCCAAAAGCGTATTTAATGTACCCTGGTAAGAACTCTTCGATGCTGCGAACTTTATCATGTGCGTTTTCTTTTCCTTGGATAGCTGCTGTACTAGTTGGCTTAGCTGCAGCTCCATTATGGACATCGAAATGCAGTTATCTGACCAATATGGGTACTGTTTATGCGAACGAAAAAAATTTGAATAAAACTGCAGTTATTAATCGATTTTTTGGCATATTCTTCATGTTCTTCCAATCATGTTTGTTCTATTTCTATTAGTTGCGTATTCTGTATGAAAGTTGTTTCTTCTTCCATAGGTCAAATCTGGGGCAACTTGATCTCGTATTTGATCTTGACACCAGAAAATCGATTATCTACCAATGAAACGAGCAAAATCAATACGCCGTTAGTGGGAATCATATATGAGAAATGCGGAGCCGACTTCAGCGAACAAGAATATCAAAGTACCGAAGTAGCGAACAAAATCGATCGAAAGACAGTCAGTTGAATATCTGACAACCATTTGCATAAAATTACAGTTTTCTTTTCAGGTGGATATTCTTTGTATAATTTATGTGTGTCTTTGCATTAGTTCAATCTTCCTTTTAATCTTTCTGCTTGATCAACGACGAACAGCGTCACGCGATAAAGTCTCAGTGATGATTCGTAGTTCGGTTAAATTACTTGTTTCTACGCTGAAACATATGCGTCATATCGATCAGATTCTACTTATTCCAATGAGTATTTGGTGTGGCCTGGAGCTGACCTATGTTTTTACGATATTCACCAAAGTGAATTTATAAAAACAAACTTTTCATCATATTATGAATCACTTCTAGGCGTTTGTTTCATGTACGTTCAGTGCGAAATATGTTGGTCTCGTCATGATCGCTTTTGGAATTTGTGATTCCGTTGGTAGTTTTGCCTTCGGTCAACTTGTTAAAGTCGTCGGCCGTTGGCCTTGTTTTGCCATTGCTACAGTAATTAACTACGCTTTAGTGATCACCATGCTCATCTGGCATCCGTCGAGTAACCAAATCGTTGTTCTCTTCATCATTGCTGGTCTTTGGGGTGTTGCTGATTCAGTTTGGCAATCGCAAACCAGTGCACTCTATGGCGTTCTATTCAACGATACAAATGAAGCAGCTTTCTCCAATTATCGCCTTTGGGAATCAGTTGGATTCGCTTTCTTTTATATCATTACACCATACGCACGCACTCGTATTATATTGATTATTCTTTTAAGCTTTCTCACCGTTGGTATTAGTGGTTATATCATAATTGAATATCGATGTCGAAAATACGACGAACAAAGATTGAAAAAGCAACCTTCGACATCCGCTCAAAGTTTTCAATTCTAACATTTTCTCAATTGAATTCGTTTTGTATTTAGACTAGTTTATTAATATTCAAATAAAATCATCTATGTCATTTTTCATCTACCGGGATGCATTCAGATATAGTTGAACATGATTGGCAACTTCCGCCATATTCTTTCGGTAATTGTTCTGCATCGATATATTGCAATAGCGTCGTAGTTGTCTCGATGCCTTTTTTCAAAACTAAGATCTTCGTTTTCGTCACAGGATCCACCCAATGCTTGACTATGCTCCAAAGTGTCGGAAAGATCAATGGCGGGTTTATAATAAATAATTGTCCTAAACGTTCCGGATAGTAATTATCATCGATGAAAAGTGATTGTTTTAAAAGTGGAAGCATTTTTCTCATGTCAAGTTTACATCCATGTAAGTCATAAACGATAGCGAAACTTTCCACGTGTTTGCCGATTTGTCGACTACGTTGTCGAGCTAGTTGAGAGTATAATTCTAACCAGTAGAGATGACATTCGATTAGATCGTCGTGTTGAAAACTGCTTAAGATTTTGTCGACGGAGATAATACCAGATTTTTCGATGTAGAGTGGTCGATCGGCTTTAGTGTATCCGTGATTCGCATTTGGAACTATTTTTCGAAGAGTGGCCATGCGTTCAGCGATTTTCTCTTGTTCGAGAATGGCATCCACTCGATTATCCATTCGCCATTTCAGCATTTCTAGAATCGATTTTATCGTATGTTCAATGTTCCATTTGCGTGCTCGAAGAAACCGATACAATTGATACTGCCATTCGTTTTCCTCTTCTTCTTGTTCCATCGGATTCTTCAATTGTAAACTACCTTTGAACTCAATATACGACGTATAATTCGTTTGCAGTTCTTTATACACAATTTCGAATTTTTTCTGTTGCTCATCGGTTAATTCATTTATATTGAATAACGGACTACTAGTCGGCATTATAGCGAGACAAATATATCTGAAAGAAGATTCCCTTTTCTGTAGATACTCGAGTCACCCGGTGAACACACCTTATGAAGATCCATATCACCTGTTTACTTCTGTCATATGACATAACAAAATTAAATAGCGTTATCTTTATTTATTCTCTGTAACACATGTATGTTGCAAGTTTAAAGGAAGATAAACTCAATGTCATCACACAGTATGTTCTTATCAATTTAACAACTAAGTATTCCATATAGAAATGCTATGCGATGTGAACGAGTATCTAGCTAAAACAACATTCTAAAACGTGTAAAAATCAAGCGAGTTAAAATAAAGTCATTCGTGAACATTTTCTTTGCAGTGCATTGTCTTTAGTTACTGTAGAAATTTCATGACCAGATAAGCTCGGTCGTGGGTGGATTGCGATGGAGTAACTTCGACCATCCGAAATCGTTTTAATTGAATTTTCCGAACGTTTGTTCGGAGGTATGATTGCATCATTGTCGATTGTTCCGTTCTCGCTCTTGTTTTCAAGATTAACTTCGCCTTCTAAAGCCAAATGTAGATCATGTGCCGTTTTCGACTCCTCTAACACCTTCGGATCAGAGTCGCGTTTGTAAAGAAAGGATAGGATCGGCGATGTTGCCAATGTAAGAATCGTTGCCATGAGAACAAACATGGCGAATATAACAGGCGATATAACTTTCAATTGCACGCCGATATTCAATACAACTAGTTGTACAATACCACGTGTATTCATAAGAACACCCATCGACGCACAGTAGTACCACGATCGTCGGGAGAAGATCTTCGTTGCAATTGTCACAGGTACGATTTTGGATACCGATGCTATGATAACTAACACAGCTAATGTCCACCATGCTCGTCCGGTGTTTAGAAGATTCAAACGTGTCTTTAGACCACTATTTGCAAAGTATAGACTAAAGCGAACAGCAGGAAATAGGATAATCGAAGATATTAACAATGAAAATAAACTTACGGTAAGAAAAATTCGACGATAATCAATTCAATACGAATGGAAAGAAATTCTACCAATTCACCTTTACGTGGAATACAAAGGCCAGCAATAAATGCGCCAAAGAATGCGTGAATTCCTATCAAATACAAATTTTCATTAGACTGAATGCACGAACGTACTTTACCCATGACTTCCGTTGTAAATGATGCAATCAGAAGCAAAAGAAAACAACCGACGACAATATAAACATTACAATCGTCTTCTTTTTTATGATAGAAAGCATGTATACGACCAAATATTGGTCGAATCACAAGTACCATTATTGCAATAAAAGCTAATGTTAATAGTAATGTATAGAGACCTTGAAGAGCAGAGCCGCCCGATGAAAAAGCACTGGCAACAGCCAACACAACCCAAACGACAATATCTTCAACAGCAGCTAAAGAAATCGTTTGGATACCAATCGGCTTATTCAATAAGTTCATAGAGTTCAATAGAGTGGCAAGCACAGGAAATGCTGAGAAGCCAAAACCCGATGCTAAACAACATTTTGATGAAAAGTGTCATACGAAAAATATCGATCCTTACCAATAAACAGAATAAAAGCGGTTTTACTCGCGACAATTCCATCATTCAGTTCATAGAACCACAAGGCTACCGCACAACCGATTCCGACTATCAAATAAACTATTTATTGAATTTTCTTTTATATATTCAAATTTTCTTACCAGGCACAATAATACTCGCACAAGCAACTGGTATTGTCACTTTCCAGTTGGCTTTGATTTGATTCAAATCAAGTTCTAATCCGAGAAAAAACATGAAGAAGATCAATCCTAAATTGGCGATCAATTGAAAGACTTTCAACGATGACGTCGGCCAAATCGCTGATGACCATCCTTTTGTAAATCCTACATGATAAATTCGAAAGCATTATCCACCTATTTCTCTCTCTCTCTTCACTCTACGCACCAAGTATAGATGGGCCAAAGATAATACCCGCTATAATCTGTCCAATAACTTGCGGTTGCCGAACGAATGAAAGCAGTTTGGCGAGACATTTGCACACAATTAACGTGATAAATACTTGTAATAAAAACATCGCTAGTGGAGATTCATGTGGATTTTCGAATAATGTCACCATGATTTTCCTGCTGTATTTAGAAACAACCTTTCTCTTTCGAATATTTTTCAATAATACAATCGAGGATATAAAAAACAAGATGATTTTATATCATATTCTCTTTTCATCTCGCTATTCAACATTGAGAAAAGATCAAGGCGATGTGTGATACAGTGCAATACACTTGGATTCTAAAGAAAAATTTCGTTATAGAATAGCATGACGTGCACTTTGTCTTCAAGGTGGAATTCATACTTATTTGAATATCAAATCAGCGATTTTATTTACACAAATGATTTTTTATGAAACAAAACAAATGGAAATCGATCGAACCATTCGATTTTATAATCCGGTGAGGATAAAAATGAATGTTAAACGAGCGATGTTTTATGATGCTTAATGTTTTGAATATTCTATAGACCTGTTTAAAGGACAAATTTGTGTTTCGACAATACATTGGAAGTTAATGAAAAATTTCTTTGTTTTTTTCATCAACGTTCGCATGACTCACGTTAGAGACAGAGAAAGAAGAAACGGCGATGTTGAATTTATGTGTCACGGAAGGTAGACGCAAATATAATAAATTTTTTTTTGCATATCTTGGAAAAAACCAACCCCTTTGACTTAAAATAAAGAGTTTGTTTCTGTCTTACGTGCAAACCGATTTTCTTGTTTGAAATGGCGATTTCGATTCGCAGCCATTCAACAATGGAGAGAGTAACAAGTATAGATCCTTATGAAATCTTAGATGTCAATCCGGGTGCATTTTATCAAGATATTCGTCATGCTTTCATTAGAAAAATCAGTTCTCCATCACGAAGTCAACGAGCAAGCGTAGCTTTAGCATATGAAGTCCTATGCTCGAACGACACAAAAAGATACACTCGAAATGGAAATCGTTTTACTGTTAATATAAAAGATCAGTTCTATTACGTAACTATCGGTGATTACGAATCATTTGTCAGATTAATAACGAGACATAAGCATCTTCTGGATCAGCGAGATGAACATCTGAGAACGTTACTTTATATCGCAGCTCGAAATGGTTTCCATAATATTTGCCAGTTTCTATTGAGAGTAGGCTGTCAAATAAACGAAACTCAACATTGTGGAAGTACTGCGTTGCACGCAGCAGCTTATTACAGGCATCAACCAATCGTTGAACTTTTGCTTGAATATGGAGCACATCCAACTATCCGAAATGGATACGGTCATACAGCTGAAGAAGAAAGTGGCAGTGAAGCGATTAGAACTTGTATTTTATCACATACGGTCGACAAAATTAATCGAATGGTAAATCGTTTGAAACAAGATGGTCACGCCAAAAACATGATTGTCTTAAGACATAATGATCGAATCATTGGTAAAAAGATTCTTCGAAGTCCGGATTATTTGTCGAATCATTCCCTAGCATATTTGACTCAAAACTGGACATTAGCTTGGCATGGTACAAAATACGAACATTTACAATCGATTATGAAATATGGCTTACATCCAGCTGGAACAGTCCTTTCTCCAAATAATAAAATATCCACGCAAGCTGGTCATATTGCATTGAACAAAAAAGTCGGAGAATTTGATAATTGGGCTCATGCCGTGTTCATTTCACCGAGTATATTCTATGCAGCGGACATTGTTTATTCGGAACGGATTTTCTCCGATAATCAACGATGGTGCGTACTTGTTGAAGTTCGAGTGAAGCCCGGCTCATTTACTAAGCACAAGCAAACACTACTGAACCAACGGTTGTTGTTACCGGGCGAACCACAAGATATAGAATATCGAGTGGCGGTGACTGCCGACAATGATTTTATTCTTCGAGTTGAATCAAATGAGAATGTGATTGTTACAGCGTTAGTCTTCATCAATTTGAACTTTTTAGAAAACATCGATGAATATTATCAAGGAGAAAATCTTTTTGCTAACTCTGAAGCTGAAAGAACTCTTTTTCAATAAATTCTTTTTACATGATAAAAACAATTGTATTCTACTTTAAGTCTTTTCTTCATGATATCTCCACAAAGGAGAACACTAAATACACATGCTGACGTTTATCATCGATAACATATCCTGTAAATGTACTGTTATCATTTTGACGAAAGAGAATGGCAAGTGCAACACTCGGTATGAGTAAATCGTACAATTCAAATTCTGTTTTACAGAAATCTGCTAGTCATCTCCTGTTAGAATTGATCGACGAAGCAATTGCTGCACTTGATGTCGCATCAGTGGATATTATTGCTGATTTTGGTTCGTCTCATGGTGCTAATTCGATTCATGCAATGAAAACAATCATCGATTACCTTCGTAGAGAGAAAAAACTTTTTAAAGAACCACTAGTCGTTCACAATGATCTACCAAGCAATGACTGGACAGCGCTTTTCCAACTGCTTAATCAAAATCATTCTTACAAAGGCATCGTTAGTGGTCGTTCTTTCTACGAACAATGTTTACCGAGTAATTCCGTTGCAATTGCGTATTCATCGACTTCCCTTCATTGGTTATCGAAAAAACCAGCTAATGCATTGAACTGTTATCACGTTTATTTTGTCGATAATCCCGATGCGTATCGCGCGTTTCAACATCAAGCTGCTCTTGATTATTCACAGTTTTTAAAACATCGGTCATCTGAATTAGTGTCCGGTGGTGTTCTTATACTTAGTATTCCATGTGTTGATAGTCAAGGAATTATAGGTATCGAACGTATTCTTGAACTTCTCTATACATGTGCTCAATTGTTACCTTTAACATCGACTGAACTACTTGATTATACGAATCCAGTACATTGTCGATCGTATGACGAATGTGTCGATGAAAATCTCTTTTCTCAAAATGGGTTTCAACTAATTAAATACACAACCGTTTCCATTGGATCACCACTTTATAGAAAATGGAAACAAGAAGAAATTACGTTCGATGAATATACTCAGTCGACGACACTATTCACTCAAGGTTTTTCTGAATCAATTCTTGAACAAACACTTCGAAAACATGGTCGAGCAGCAGAAGACATTCCTAATCTTCTAAAACAATTCTGGAATTTATTTGAACAACATCTAAGAAAACAACCGGAGATAGGAGATTATATTGCTCCATTTATTTGCCTAATTTTGAAAAAGAAATGAGTGATTTTTTTTCTTTTGCATTAGAATAAAAACATTCTTTCTCTCCTCTTGTTTATTCTAATCAAAACACGATTTTTTTTCTTCGTTTATATAGAAAGAAAAAAAATCGACCTTGGCTTGTTTTTTCTTCGTTTTTTTTTTATAAAAAAATCCATTTTATTTCACAAGCTGTAGTATTATGTCTTCCCTTGCCAGTGAACTTGCTTCGATTTCAAGTCCCGAACAGCAAAAGGAATTCTTGGGAAATAAACTTTTTCCTCTGGTTCTTGAACGTGTCAAACATCCTGATATCACAAGCAAAGTCACCGGAGAATTACTCGAGTTGGATAACGACGAACTTTGTCGTCTGATCGATTCACACGATGCTCTCAGCGCCAAAATCGATGAAGTAAAAACTGAAATTGAAGCCTGTGAACCTTCATCATTTCCGAAATAAATTTCCTCTTTTTTCCGCAAATGCTTAATGATCAATGTATAGTTTATTTATATGTCGAAAAAATCAATTACAGATGAGGTAGTCTTTTTACCAATAGGAATAGCCATATCCAGAGCCATATCCACCGACACCTGGTGCGCCACCATATACTTGGCCAAAGGTAGGGTTTGGATTACCACCTAAGTAGTTGTCCAATCGTTCACCGAGACTACCTAAAAGAAAGATATTCGCAACGAAAATGCTCGGGACTATTGAAGTGTATATTTACTGTTCAATCCACCGGGTATATGAGTTTGAATCCACATATCCGATCGCAATTCGGAGTTATAACCTCCATAGCCACCATAGCCGCCGAATCCTCCGTACATATTGAATATATGGGTGTGAAAAGATAGATTTAAGAGTGAGTAGTGAATGCAGTTACATGTTTGGCAACCCCCTTTTATACATTTGTTTTCGCTTCACTGCCGTGAGGAGGAAAATATCTTATAGTCAATGAGTATACGCTTACTTTATGCAGTTGACGTCATACAATTTTTACTAGAAACTAAATGTACCTATTTCTCATCCTCGTTTGGTGAATAATATTCAACATACCTTTGTCACGTATCGACAGCGATGAATAAACATGTTTATATTATCCCATAACGTCAATAACGTCATGTAGCGTAGCGCGTATATTGCTCATTTTATTGACGTAGATAAACAAAAATAAATCATTTTCTTTCTACTCAACAATCAATTCTTTCGACCATCTCCAAAATATTTTAGTTCCAATAATTGATCAACATCTACATTCGTTATCTGATTCAGAGTATTGAAAAGCGATAATTTTAAGTTATAACCATCATAAAAATGACAGTTGGGCAAAGAAGAAGAATCTTTTTTTTCAATCGAAATTCGATAGATTTGTGTAGCATATCAATACTCAGTTCACATTTGTTTCAAAGCAAAGTTCATGAACGAAGAAACAATCGTATAGGAAGTTATTTTCTCGCGAATATATTCGTAAATGATGTATCCATCTCAATACTCTCCTTGAACTTGTTGTTTCTGCGTTTTCGAACGACATATATACTAGTTGCAGATGCAACAAGAACAACAACAGTTACTGGAATGGTTATTGCTAATATTGTTCTCCATTTTCCTTCGTCCTTTCCTGCTCCTAATGTAACTGGAATGCCCGTTGTTGTAGTTAATGTTGTCAAGCTTGCTGTTGACGATGACTCTACTTTTGTTGTTACTCGCGTTAGAGAAGTCGTTGAAGTGGTTGTCAACGACGAACAGTACGAATCAATATTCATACATTGTTGAGTTAGTTCATCTACAATCGATTGGTTGCGTAAACAGATGGGACGTTGTGACGAGTAAAACATGTTTTCATGTAAGAATAGAAAACAATTGCATGTATGATTTGCATCAATTCCCATCGTTGTGTGATTGAGTATTTGAAAGACGGGTTTCGATAAACAATAATCACCGCTGGTGAGGTGAAAACCAAAGAGCATCACATAAAGATTCGATGGACGATCAGACCATTGAATAGCAGAATCATTTCTTGGCTCATAATGCCAAAATTGTTTACTCATTGGTATTCCTGTGAGATCCAAACTCTCTAGTTTGAATAGCTTCGTGAAAACAAACCAGTTAATGATGGATAGCTGTCGGTTGTTCGCCAACGATAAAGCCTTCAGCGTTGGTGCAGTACTGTAAAGAAATGAATTTGTTCGATTTATTGGTTTTGACTGCTCATCCGAACCGGTCTGTGTCATTTCTAAGGACGAAAACTGATTTCCCGATAAATCCAGAGAAACCAAATTCGTTCCTCTAAAAGCCCTTGGATAAATTAAGAAAATAAAATTCTGACTTAAGTCAATCGTTTGAAGTTGGTTTGCTTTTAGAAATGAGAAATCATCTAACACTTTGATATGATTGCAACACATGGTCAATGTCGTCAAACGAGATAGGTTTTGCATACCTGTCAAGTCAACTACATAATTATGCGATAAATCGAGAGTCTCTAATGTTTGATTCAATGGATGTAAGAATGATGCCGCTTTGTTATTAGGCGTGACCGTATCTAAAAATTTGATATGATTGTCGTTCAATTTCAACGTTTTGATATTCGATCCAGTGAACGCATCAAGTTCAATATGATAAATTCGATTGCTCGATAAATCCATATGAGTAATGTGTAAATTTGAAAACACATTAGATTTAATTTCTCGTAATAAATTATAATTTAAATTAATTTCTTGAAGATGAAGAAACCTAGTCAACGATGGAATGTCTTGTAATAGATTGAATGATAAATCGAGCTTATTCAATGATTCTGAAAGACTTCCAAGGAGAAGACTCGCATTTCTCAGTGAACATTTCTCGAATTCCAATTCAATAACATCGAAAGACGATGATTCATTGGAAGTTGAATAAATGCATTTTGAATTCCTGATGCCCAGTTTGAAAATACTTGTTTTATCAAATGCTTTCAAGTTTAATTCATATGAACGATGAATGTCATGATATTGGATGCCAGAAATAAGGATTTCCGTATAGTTTACTTGACCAAATGCATAATTATCAAGTTGAAAGTTTCTTGGTGCGTTGAATGAAAGAGAAATTGATCGGTCAGAATAGTAGTTTAATGGCTTGAAAGTATTTTCCTCTATTCGATCGATACCGTTGATAAATGTGAACACTAGTCTTCCAAGCGATGGGAATACGGATGGAAAGCTTGTAAATGTAGAACGTGTTAAACGTGTGAAATTAATAAAATAAAACAAGTGATATATGTCTTCGTTTGATGAAAATATTGACCAATCGATAGAAGTGTCATTACTTAAGATATCTTCAGTACAAGTTACTAGACCAATTTCCTTATTACAATGGCAAGTTGTGCTTGAATCATTAAGACATATAATTTCTGATTGGATTGATGTTGCTATTGAACTAAGAGAAACAATATAGAAGAAGAACATGGATTGCAGCATGGGTGAACGTTAGAAACAAGTTGTATCGCGTTAGAATGGTTTTATATTTAACTTACGTGTTGCTCTGTTAACATGCACATTTTCTCATTATCTTTGTTATCAAACGAAAGTTTTGTTTTTTATTATTTAACATGACTCCTTTCTGGGTATCATCCACGAATTTACGAATTTTACTGTGTAGTGACATCATTTTTTTAAATGTTCTATATTATGAGTACATGCTCGAGAAAGGAAGGTTGACGGTCATGATGTGACAGATAACGATTGACGTAATGTTTTCATCAACCTCACCGTCAAGTTCTGACTATGCCACTGAATAATAGCGCTCATCACTATCGGCAGAATAGCAATAGCAGGTATGGCTAGTAGAGCTAGATTGAAATGGAGTTTGACGAACTTCAAGAAGATTTTAATATTAATTATCAATCGGCTTCATTACTTTTCTAAATCTCATTGTTCACTTTTTTTCTCGCACGCGAAGTTTACTTATGATGACCAGTTATATGTGATAATTGGATATATTCGAAGGTAAGAAACAAAGGAAAAAAATACAATGATCGCTAAAAATGAATTCGAGTTAAGTGATAGATAACATCAGCATTTGTCCAGTTATTTTTGTGTCTCTTTTGGATCGCAAACATCAGTTTCATGAAGAGCATGGCCAATCACATTATAGTTAAGAGTAGTGCCCTGTTTGCAAGATTCGGCACTTTTAAAGCCAACAAAACTTTGAAGACCTTTGTCATGTTTACAGAAAGCGAGACGAGGTGTCTTCGTTGGCGTAAGACACTGCACACATTTGTCAGTGCAACAAACAGTTCTACTACAGGTTGGTGCTAAATTAAAATTTGATAAAAGAATATTTTGTAGGCCGGATATATTTTACCTCCTTCTCCACGTTCCGCAAAGCTGGCGAGCACGAATGAATTGTCCGAGTTTTCCTCTTCACGCAGGTCAATCATAGGATGATACTGTGCTTCCGAATATTGCACAGTAACAATTGCCAGAGCCGCGATGAATATGACGACGGATGTCGATTGCATTTCGTTCGTTGTGGAGTGAGAAGAAGTTTGAATGGATACACTAATACTAACCGAATAGAGTTTTTATAGAGTGAATCTTAGAGAGTATTCAGTTAACTATGACAAGTTGTTGTCCTAGAGAAAAAAGTTATTTTCGCCACGAACTAATCATATAGTCGACCTGTTCTGTGTAGAGTATATGTTTTCTCCAAAATCGATAATTAATGTCACTTATTACCCAAATCATATACTATATAGAAACTAGTAACTTTGTTTATTAAGAATATAACAAATGAGCGGTAATCATCAGATATTTATCGTCAAAGGACAGCAGAGTATTTTTATGTGAAATATTTGACAGGTAATTTTCAGATGGCAATACAAGATTTCTATTCATTAGTAAATATCCAATATGTATGAAATTATTTTTGTCGTTCTGCATTCTGACAAAAAGACGGTAGCATACTATATATACCTGTATGATTAGTTTTTGTCTGTCCAGAATGTAATTAAGATATTTATCGAGGATGAAGGTACGTTCGAAGAAAGATTCAGTGTGTGCAGCGTCAGACATTTCTCATCTACATGAAAATCAACTTATTTTTTGTATTTCCTATTCTGCAATTTGTGCACATGCCATTGTTCCACCGAGTGAATCATGCTCTAGAAGAGTTTTTAGCAACGCGTAGAATCTTTCTCGTGATAAATATATCGAGAAGAGATCGAAAACAGTTTGTCTTTATTTTTCTATGTTCTACTTCACTAAGAAAGTAAGAGAAGTTTGTGTATTCAAACTTGCCTATTTCAACATTATTCAATGAAATTCAAGCAAGCAGTTACACTAACAAAATTATCCTATACAAGATATAAGTGGTCCCACAACTTTTTATTACCTAAAGCAGTTTCGTTGTAAATGTGCACACACGTCGAATCTTTATTCAAATAATTTCTTGATTAATATAAAGAAAGTTAGTATATATTAAAGTTTGTTTTTCACACGCTCGAGATTTTCTCGCGAGTCGAGGAGATTGGGATGATTTTCAGACAACGATCGTTTCGCAATTTCGATGGCAAAGTTAAAGCAGGAACAAGCTGCTGAGTAATTGTTCATATTTTCATGAACTAAACCGATATTATTGTAGGATGAAGCCAAGTCCGGATGATTTGGAGAAAGTGATTGCTGTCGAATCATAAGAGCTTTTTCATACGATGGAAGAGCTCTATTGTAGTCACCCATATTTCGATACGCTGCACCAATATTGTTGTACGATGCGGCTATGTCCGGATGGTTCGCAACCAGTGACCGTTGTCGAATGGCAAGTGCTTTTTCATACGACACTAAGGCCTTCTTGTAATCACCCATGTTTTGATATACGACGCCGATATTGTTATAAGATGAAGCGATATCAGGATGGTTTTCGTCGAGTGATAGTTTGCTAATCTCGAGATCTTTTTCATAATAAGAAAGTGCATTCTTATATTTACCCATGGATTCATAGACTACACCCAGGTTGTTGTAGGACGGAGCTAATCGAATGTCATTAGGAGGAAGAGTTTTTTCTTCGATGTCAAGTGACTTCTTATAGAACGTGATCGCTTCTTCATATTCTCCTAGTTTGTATTTGATGATTCCAAGTTCATGGTAGAGAGGTGCTCTCTCATTGTCGTCGGCCGTTTCATCGAGTAGTCTGTTATAAATCTCTTCCGCGCTGTCATACCGACCCATTTGAATCAAGACCAAACCTAATCTTTCCCATCCTTCATTGTTTGGAAAGCTCTCGTCCCGAATCCGTTCTGTAAGCGCATTTAATTCCGTGTCACTGTCACTGGTAAGTGTCAAGGTTACTTCGTAGAGTGTGTTACTCTTATCGATTGGTTTCAGGTCAAGAACACGAAAGACACTGTTTATAGAAAAGAGTATTTCATCTTCAGATGAAACGGCACTGATGTCACTAACAGACGCGAATGCTGTTGTTGATTGGCCAGGATCGATTTTCATAACAAAGAGGATGCCAATTAGATCGGGGTTTTTCATCGCTCGTTTAGCAAAATCAAGTGAGATTGAACGATTCTTGCTGGTAGATAGAAAATTATTAAAGGACATAAGTCCACCTTTTGTTTCCTTCAGTTCTTCGAAACCTTCTTCCGGTAAACCTTGACCACGAAAAACTGTAAAAGTTTCAGTAACTTTCTGTTCTTGGTGCAGCCGTTCTATATGTCGATGGAGATCACTTATGAAAAATCCCATCAGTATTATTATCTTTGTATCCATTACCCGTAGACAACGATTCAGCATAGTATATAGAAAACAGTCACAAGTATACCAGTGTATAGGTGTTTTCTTATAGTAAGACTCGCTCAAAGCGTCAACATAGCTCAGCTCCCTATCATTACCGGTCAGAGCTTTGCGACAATAATCAAGGTATTTTTCGATGTGCTCTTGATTGAAAGTAATAGTTAGTAATATTTCCTTTAAGATTTGTGTGTACATGAAAGATGGGTCCAGCTGATCCAATTTCTTGTCAAATTTCATAAAACTCATCGGCATGGCATTTCGTTCACAGTGCCATGCTGCTTGTTTGAGAGCTTCACAGATCGGTGTTATTTCCGTGAAAACACCTTTGATTTTTGGCCATTCTCGTGCCCATTGTTCATGATACTTCTTATTACCACAAAAGATAAATATGGAATCTACCTGAGACATATGATGCACGCGACGTACGATATGTTGACCAAGTGCACCCGAGATAATCATACATGCCTTGCGATCCGTGATCGTCTCGATGAAATGAATGCAATTATCGCCATCTGTATATGTGTTAACGTCATTTACGACGCGTCGTAGCTGAGTGATGGTGTTTTGACAATCTTTGCTGCTGTTATTAATGTTGCCGTCTAACCAGATAAGAAGTACGTTCTGAATTCGTCGAATATCAAGACGTTCACATTCATGCGTCTCAGCTGTTTTGATGTTGCTTGCCATAACGTTAGTTTGTTGGAAAATTATTATAGAAACAACGTACAAGATTTGCTCGTCTTATATATTTGCATCTACTTCCTAGATTTTTTTTCTTTTACTGTTCTTTGCGGCGCCTCGTTCTTTTCTGTTTTCGTTTCTAATATTCCTTCAAAACATTCGAGTATGAAACAATAACATTAGTCGGCGACAGATCAAACGAAGAGAATGTTTGCGAGACGCTGGAATTTTCAAAGAAAAAAGTTCTATAAATTTTGTTTAATAAATACTGCAAAAAATAAGCTTGCTGGTTGGTCGTCAAGAATACTACTGATTCCATCGTTTATAACATTTATCTAATCGACGTCATTCAGGATATCGTAACGAAAATTTTACATCTGGATACTTTTGAAACATATACTCCGGAAGACTATAAAGAAAATGAAACTTCTCATCAGTGACTTCTGCTAGAGCGAGTTTACCCATCACGCAAATTATGAAATGATTTGCTTATCTCGTATGAAAAGTATACTGACAATCTAATGTTGATAGATATCTTGGGATATTACTCTCACAGCAGCGGAAGAATGAACGGCTGTGTTCGATAGTGTAAATTCGTATCTAAAGAAATGAGTTCAGTGTAAAACTCGTACAGTATTAAGAAACGAAATTTACTCCTGGATGATAAAAACACAGCATTTCCCGTCCAGTTTTCAATTGATTATAATATACTATCTATGTTTACTAAAAACCCCATCACTTAATAGTTAGCCATCCGTAGGCCTCCTGTCGCAGCCAGTCACTCACGGCTACACATTAATCTTTATACTCTGTTTTTCTACTTTCACATTATCCCCTTTTCTGAAAGAAAGGGTAATATGCTCCTAAAATAGGGAGCTTAAAATGCTTGAAGTTTGTTTGCATAATCCAATCAAATTACAGCATTTCATAAATCAACGAAAGGACGAGTGACAGTAAGGCATGTTTTCGGCGCAAAAAACTAAGTTCTCAGACCCATATATTCGGAATCAACATCGAATTCTGAGTGAGACAGCGTTAGTTCTTCCTTACAGACCAAAGACTCCTACCCACCAGACGTTAATAGGCAAGATCGAGAGTGATAAAAAGCTAAGGATCTGTATCGGTTCAGTTAGTGTGTGTAGTTGTCATACTTCGAGGATGGAAGAGTGAACGAGGTTATTCGAAGTCTTCCTGATAATGTTTATTGGTAAACGACGAAAAAGAAAAACAAGAAGCGACCGATGTCGATCACAGTTCAAAGACAACTGCTTCTGTCTGATCTTACAAGTTCAAAGAGAGGTTAGACAGGCGACATAGAGAGAAAACCAGAGAGAACGAGAAAAGATATATATGTCGTATCGAAGTTGTTACTTCGACAAAATTTTCTGTCAAAGTTATTTCTAGTAATTAAATAGAGAACTGAAATTGTATTTCAACAATTGATCATCATTTATTATCACAAGTTAAAGAATTGTGACAACGAGAACCACATAGCACTTGTGCTTGTTTACATTTACATCTCTTTGTTTTACAACTGCCTTCGCAGTCGCATTTCAGCATCTCTTGTCCGCCAGGGATATTATTGAGCCGAGCAACTTCACGTAATGATTTCCGTGTGTTAGTTGGAACATGTTCGATGAGTAGTGTTGATAAACCTGGTCACTTCGATATCTGGTGGAAACCGTATAAACCGTAGAGTGCATCATGTGATGTTCCTAAATGATACTTCCCATATTTAATATTCAGAACAACTGCTAATATATTGCGTGCATCTGCAGGTCCACAGTCAATATCTCGCACAGCTACTAACTGAAAAATATCTCGCGACAGATTTGAGACTTGTAAAAATAGGACACTTAAACTCATCAAATTATCACCAATACTACCCTCACTCTAATAATTGTTTATTCTTCATCGTTCTAAGGAATTGATTACCCTGTTCCTTTTGACCCTCACGAGCATCGTGCCGGTTTTTGTTTATTTGCTGTGACCGTTTCATAGGTGAGACAATGTTTTGCCCATGATCAGCATCGACGACTTCACCGCATTTGAAATCGTTCGTGTTATTTTGTTCAGTTCCTTAATTAGTCTCAATTGCAGCAGTTCTATATGGTTCAACATTTGAGAGTGTATTAACAGGATTAACAGGTTCAACGATTGCTGCTGCATCAATAATTGTAGCTGTATCATTAAGATCACTTGGTGAAACAATATCACCTGCGTCATCAGGTAAAAGTGGTAAATCTAATTTCTGCAGAAGCTCTTCTTCAGTGGAATCTTGAGAGGGTGAGAGCAAGATTTGTAGACTTATGACGAAAGAAATAGAGGAATCGGAAATTATTATATGCGAGCCGTGCACTCCATGATATGTAAATGCACTTCGACTATGACGTTTAAAACAAACCCTGTATTGTTGACAAAAGTTCGGAGGACTCTCGTCAATTGGCGAAAGTATAGAGGTGTATTGGCGATATTCCTGTAACCCGTTGATAAACCAGTTTTCGGTTCCTGATCAAACAAAAGTGAGTGAGGGCTGTGTTGAAGCACTCGATGATGACAAGAATTTTTCTGAAGTTGAACAAAACGTAATCCTTCGGACCATTTTCTACAGCTATTTTCACGCATCCAGATACCTAAAATTCAGAAAAAATCAAGATGATAGGCTTGGTTCCAGAGTTAACATACCAATGGACAATTTGATATTTTAGTTGCACCTTTCTACAGAACCCTGCGATTCCGAATGACGGGCTTTTCTGTGCACAACTTTAAGACCAGTCCACATTTCGTTTAATTCTATGATAATCCTGGTAACAAATTCACGCCCGTTGTCTGACTGAAGAATTGCCGGAGCACCAATGATCGTGAATATATCTAGCAATTGATAAGTTACCTCGGCAGCTGTTTTCGTTTTTCATGGTTTAGTATGCAAAACTCGGTAAAGTGATCTTGGTAATTCAAAATGTATTTGTATGATCCATCTGAGCAGGACTACATGTTGAATAAATCAACTTGTCCACCAGCATTGAAATCGTTTGATAAAATTGGTTGAACGACAAGTTTGGACGAATTTATCGGTTTTGCTCGTTTTATTTTACATTCGCCACAGTAACCTACTTTTCTGAAACATTAACATACTTTTTCTTCAATTCTTTCATCGTGTTGATAATACCACGATGACCAATAGCGACATGAGCTTCTTGAATAAAATCAAATAATTCATTGTATTGAACATAATATTTTTCAGCGCCTTCGGCCACTGAACTAGATTTTTTCACTAATTTTGAGTGATTACCAAAGACTACGACATCGTAGGTGATTTCTTTAACATTTCGATCGGCGAAACATTTCTTCTTGGCTTGTTGTACTGACAAAATAGTGTTTTCGTATTGATCTGCTGAAACAATGGATTGTTTGACGAGTCATTTTTCAATTTCGTTAATTCAGTATTAAATCGCTGTTTTCGACTGGAAATGTCACCTAAAACACTTCTTGTTGATGATGGTGATTTGCTTGATTCAGACATTGCTCAATTAAAACGTTTCAGATGATTGTGAATGAATAGAAATAACCGCCGAAGAAAGTAGATAACCCTGATAACCGACTCCATTCTATGTATAATAGTTCGTTGTACTACCATTCAGAAAAAAGCGCCATTTCCACAACTTCGACAAAAAACTAACTTCGATACGACATATCGATAAATGGCGCTTAGCATTTGGTAAAAACGACATCAAAGTATAGTCATTGCAGCAACACAAGGAATACTTGAAGAAGGACGAAAAATCAATAAAATCTCCGTAGCAAAATGGATGGGTGATCAGTTGAGAACCATGCTAATAATTAGCAAAGACGATGATGAATATTTTGATCTATTGCGATTTCTATGGAATAGAGGTCAAGATTGCTTTGTATTGTACAGCAAAGAAAGTTTCCTGTGCAAACTCATTTTTATTGCATCAAGTCGGAATGCAATGTCCAAAACGGCATCGAGATTTGGTTTACCGAGGCGCAAATCTCTCATCGAGTGACATCAATTTTTATCGCACCCATCAAGAATTATACAAGAAATGGCTTGCTTTCACTTCGACGAGCCGTAATCAACTCATGGCAGAAACATTAGGCAACACTTTGTTTATTATTGATATTATGTTGGTATTGATGTCAACGACCTATCGCACTATCCAAGTGAAGACAAGGTTCTACTAGCTGCTGGTATTCCATTTAAAATTAACGATGTCCAATATTATGATTATACAGAGAAATGTATAATTTATCTCGAGACTGAAACACCCGAATGGGAGATCGTGAAGCAGAGGCATTTCCATAAGATCGGTTTTCGTTTGTACGAAAAGTTCCATTTGTTTGAGAACTTGTTCTATACGCATGAAAAAATTCTTGATGACTGTATAAAATATTCGTTCAAGTATTACATCCCAAAAGATGTTGTTTTTTAATAGGTTCGATGCATTTGTCGGCATGCATGGATATTTTTTAGTAGCTAGTTCCAGCTAACATTCGCCATTGATAATTAAAAGAAACCGCGGAGAAAGTTATGAAAGAAGAACTCAACTCGTAAACTTATAGTTCGTAAGTTTTTGCGATTTCCCCTCCAGAGACCCTACGAACTACCTCAGAAGTGCAGTCAGATACAAAAGAATATGAGGCAAAGCGAAGATTATTTATCATGTTTAGGTCCGTCCTTAATACGGCTAACGGATGCTGGTCAACAACATCCCTTACAGTCTCACTTCGGATCCGATCAAATCTATTTTATACTAATAAAACATTACCTGTTTGATACTGTAACTATAATCGATAGGAATATTTCGATGTCGTCACAACGTTTGATGATGAATATTATTCATGACGTAGACACAAGCTACAAGCATGACTTACGTGTTTGTGAAGCTGTTTGCACTTAACTAAAATATGAATCGAACTATTGACACAACAGTGATACGAAAAAAAAACATTCTCTTTGCAACTTTGGCTGTATACAAATCAAACGCACGCGCTGATGATATTACTATGTTGAAGATATGTGTATATCATATGTTTATCAACCTACGTACTCCTCACTTTTCTCAACTTTTGTTGTGCCTACTCTCGTTCGTATCTCCCATAGGAGTGACAAATCATAGGAGAGAAAAACTCTTTTCCAGTTGCACCTCTACTTCACCTCCACAACATCGGAGATTTCACTCAATCATCAACAGAATGTATATAGATCTTGCACCTCGACATCCAACTCAGTTATCATTTGTTATTTTTCATTGCATCGGTCATTTCACCAATCAACAAATACAATGAAATACTTCTGTATTTTCTTGGCTTTCATGCTTGCTACTTCTTGTACTTTAAGTCTGATGGGCGATGTTCCACATTATCCGTGAAGTAATTGTCAATGTCAACGAGGAGGAGAACGAAGTGGACATTGCCATTGTCCAGACAATGCAAAGATGTTCAACACTTATTGTCGATATGGTGGAAATCTTTGAATTTATTTTCCTTTTGGTTGTCGTCATTCAATTTCTTCGAAAGACTACTCATGAACACAATTATCGATGAGCACTTTTCACTCATTATCGACGTTTGTTTTTTCGGCTTCTTTTCATACGGTGTATATTTGTGCGAGATTATATTGAAGAATAAATAAATATGATTTATATATTCATTTGATCGATTTTTTCGGTGCCAAAGTAAAACAGCTCTTACATTAAAACTGTGAAGCGAAAAGCTACGATATGTCAGTCGGTAGAATGTCAACAATGATCATATGATTTACTGATCAATAGATTTATTGTTGAATTGAAACTTCTGTGATTTTCACAATAATAAAGTATTTTTGTGTTCGTCTCGATTCATTTAGATTCTCTTCTTGAGATTTATCGTATATGTTTTCAATGGAGATTACTGAACCGGTCGCTCATTTAGATACAACGAATGATATTGCTCAATGGCTATTCATATTCTACAATAATGGCATAAAAGACGCCGAATAAAATCATCACGTAAAAAAACAGGTAAAAACTCAGTGGAATCAATAAACCCAATCAAAGTTTCTGAATATCACAATTTATTTCGAATAGTATTCGACTGGAAAGTTTCATGTCGGTCTCACAGTAACACATTGGCAATATCATGTCACAAGGTAATCCACGTCTTATTTCTTCTTGACATAAACAGAGTCCACACCAGGTTTGGTCTAAATTCGAATGTTTAACTTTTAAAAGAGTATTGTTTTAGAATTTGTACCGAGATTTTTGTATTTCGATGCGATTCGAATCATTTAAAATGAACAATACATTTATACTATAACACAGTTTACCCATAATGGTATAGATAGTGACATAAAATAAAAGTTATAGGCGCAGAAACGTGCAACAGTGATGAATGCTTACAACAATGAGATATGATAATAAGAAAACGCGTCTTGAAAAGACAAAGAACTCAAAACATTAAACTCTACAAGACAAGAACATGGGCTTGCAGAGCGTTGAATTAGTTTGCAACAGTAAGATAAACATGTTAGTATCCATAAAATATCAATTCAGAATACAGAACACTGTTTGACGTTGATCGTTTTCCAGACACAAGAAATCGATAACTCTTATACGAAATCGTGTTGTTTGTTTGCTGTATCGAGCCGCCGCTATTAGGACCCGGATAGGTTGCTAATCCACTAGCGCCATTATATATAAGAGTCCAACTGCTACCAAGTGTCAGATTTGCTGCTGATTGATTACTTCCTTCTAACGACACGATTAGCGGATCACGTTCAGAATGATCACTGCCTGTGTACAATTGAAACGCCGTCACTACAGTCGAACCACGTTGTAATTCAATATAGAAGCCAGTGTTCAAACCACACTGATTATTATTATCAGACGATGTACATGATCCAAAATTTATATACACAGTTGATCTATCATTATCCCACGCCGCCTCTGGTGATTGACCCGGTGGGTACTGACCAATACCAGAGCCGCTTGTTGATGCCGTACTATCACCACCTACAAATGTATTGTAAACAGCTGCAAGTGTTCCATTGGCAGCGGCAATTGGAATTTGACCTACAACGTCACAGTGAGTAGAATTACTTACGTACACGATTAATATGTCATCGATATACGTTTCTTTCAATACCTTCCTAATCCATCCTTTTCTCAGCCTACAAATACTTCTTCTCACCCCTCACTTATGTTCGTACACAAAAATCGCTCTTATTTGGTGACGTCTGATAAAAAGATAAAAGAAAGATTGTCCTACCTATCGGCGGTGTTGTAGTTGAGGCAGTCGTCGAGGTTGTTTCCGTGGTGGTAGTTGTAGTTTCTGTCGTTGTTGTAGTTGATGTAGACGTTGAGGTTGTTTCCGTGGTGGTAGTAGTGGTCGTAGTGGTAGTAGTGGTAGTAGTGGTTTCTGTTGTGGTAGTGGTAGTAGTAGTACTGGTGGTTTCCGTAGTGGTAGTGGTAGTAGTAGTACTGGTGGTTTCCGTAGTGGTAGTGGTAGTAGTCGTAGTGGTGGTCTCCGTTGTGGTA